TTTTTCATTCTTCTACAATAATCTTTAATTCCAATTGAGTTAATTATAAATTGATTGCTTGTCAAAGAAGATGTCCTCCATGCACATTTTAGAATTTAATGCTTTCTGCCTGGAACTTGCTTCCAAACTCTGATAAACTACCATCCTCCTGGGCTGCCAACTTTTGGGCAACCCTCCTATGTCTGGGGTACCTTCGGAGTAGCTCCCCCATCCTGACCTGGATGTCTAAATCAAAAGGCATCACTTCTCCTTTTATTTGCCTTCATGCTCTTCCCTTTCCCCAAGGATCATCTTCAGATGCTAGCTTGTAAACTCTGACAGGCAAGAACTGTTTTCTGCTTTGAGGGAAGGAGGAAGCGGAGAACGGCAAGAATGCCACCTGGGTGATGAAAGGACTGGGCTCAGCCAGAGCTGCAAAGAACATGATTTAGGCCATCAGTCCCTTAATCCAAGAGATCCTGAAACATCCCACGGATGCTTTCATGTGTTTCCTTCCAACTTTAAGGCCCAGGGAACCGAAGGGAGTGGGAGGGAACTGCAGAGCACAGAGGATCTCAAACTCCTCCCCAAGTCTCCCACCTGCCCTTAGCCACTGAGGGACAGCCAAAGATAAAAGTCCCTCCTTGGGCACAGCATATCCTGGGCAATTCCAGTGCCCAGCCTCTGGGCTTCAATTGGGAGGAGATGGCTGTTCATGGCTGGCAGCTGTTGCCCACCGGCTGTCCCTTTAGCTGCTGTTCCCCGGGCTTTCCTTCCACCTGGATTTAGCCATGTTGGTAATCCATGGCTGTTAGGCTCATTCCTCAGGCCAAGCCAAAGCACCCGAGGGCCTCTCCGGTCCCTGCATCCAGGCTGAGGCTGCTGCAACCAGGCCACTGTGGTCACTGGAAGCTGCAGCTCCAGAAGGGCCGGCCAAGAGGGCTGGAGAAGGGTTGGGCCACCCTGCAAAGAGAGGGCAAGCTTGGCTCTCCTAAGCGCTCGAGGGCCTTCTCAAGTGAGTGGAGGATAGATATATGGGCATATAATAGGAGACCAGGATTAAATCCAACAAGCAAAAAGTTTGCCTTCTTAACAGAGGTCTGAGGGAGCCTTCCCAAGCTCCACTTGGCAACTTCCTCTGGCCTCAATGCAGCTGCAAAGGGGACACCTGCTTCTTTGTTGCCATCTGCTGGCCAGGCAGGGAAAAAACTGGCCCAACACCTGGATCGTCCTCTGCTTCCGAACAGAATCAGAATAGAGCTGGAAGGGACCTTGGAGGTCTTCTAGTCTAGCCCCCTCTCAAGCAGAAGATCCAGTCTCAAGCGACTGTCCAGTCTCTTCTTAAAAACCTCCAGTGACGAAGGACCCACATCTGAAGGCAACTTCTGTTCCACAGGTTAATTATCCTCACTGTTAGGAAGTTTCTCCTTAATTCCAGGTTGCTTTTCTCCTTCCATCTGTTGTTTCTTGTACTGTCCTCTAGTGCTTTGGAGAATAGGTTGACCCCCTCTTCTTTGTGGCAGCCCCTAAATACTGGAATACCGCTATCATGCCTAGGGAACCCAGAGCAGGATGGAGCCCATTAAATGGCTCGTGTAATCTGCTGTTGCCAGGGTGGGGGTGATTTTATTATATTATACTATAATAATTTATTTGATTCTTTTTATTAGTTTTATTGTTTTAAATATGGTTTTATATTATGTAAGCCGCCTTGCGTCACCATGGGCGAATAGGCAATATAAATTCAATAAATAAATAAATCATGTCCCCCCCCCACCCCCGTCCTTCTTTTCTCTAACTAGCCAAACCCAAATCCTGCAACCGTTCTTCATGTTTTAGTCTCCAGGCCTTTAATCATCTTAGTTGCTCTTCTTTGTACTTTTTCCAAAGTCTCAGTATCTTTTTTGTAATTACCAAAACTGGATGCAGTATTTCAGATGTGGTTTTACTAAGGCTTTACAAAGTGGTACTAATACTTCACATTATTTTGATTCTATGCCTGTTTGTACAACCAAGGATGGTATTAGCTTTTTTGATTGCTGCTGCACACTGCTTAGTCATGTTTAAGTGATCGTCTACTAGGACTCCAAGGTCCCTCTCCCAGTTACTGTTTTTGAGCCATGTTTCACCTAATCTGTACTTGTATCTTTTGGTTCTTCCTGCCCAGGTGTAAAATCTTGCTTTTCTTCACATTAAATTTCATGTTGTTGGATAGGGCCCATTGTTCAAGTCTGTCAAGAACTTTTTGGATCCTGAGCTTGTCTTCTGGGTGTTGGTTAGTCCTGCCAGCTTAGTGTCATCTGCAAATTTGATGAGTTCCCCTTCCATCCCCTCATCTAAGTCATTTATGAAGATATTGAAGGGTACTGGGCCTGAGTCCTATGGGAATAGGGCGGTATACAAATCAAATAAAAAAAGTAAAGTACTTTACTATCAAAGCCTTGATAGTACAGTGGTCTACGCACCGTTATTAACACAGCTGCCTGCAATTTACTGCTGGTTCGAATCTCTCCAAGGCTCAAGGTTGACTCAGCCTTCCATCCTTTCTAAGGTAGGTGAAATGAGGACCCAGTTTGTGGGAGCAATAAGCTGACTTTGTATAAATATACAAAAGTATGAAGGCTATTGCTTAACGCATTGTAAGCCGCCCTGAGTCTCCGGAGAAGGGCGGCATATAAATAAATAAATAAATAAAAAGTAAGACAGAACCTTGTGGCACCCCACAATTGCTGTTCATCTAGAAAACATTGTGAAGAGCTGGCTATACTATGATTGGGGAGGCCAAGAGCGGCCACCAAACAACTTCTGGCATTGTGGGGAGATGTGAGTGAGGGGAGCAGACCTCCCCCTCTTCTTCCAGCATTCTTGCTCAGCCGCCTGGAGGTTCCTAGGAGCACCTTGCCCCAGTGGAGCCTCCCCAGTTCTGGAAAGCTTCACTCCCAGCCAATGTGACAAAAGCAGATGCTTCCCTGGGAATTGTGTTACTTTAACCAATTCCTGATCCTGCCTTTCTGCCACCAAACAGGCAGTTAGCCTTCTTTCTTAGGGGGAGCCTGGAACCCCCACAGAACGCTTCCCCGGGTGGCGGATTGGGGGCCCTACCCAGTATAGCTTTTATGCTATAATGGTGGGTTGGAGGGAATCAAACACCTCCTGCGGACCAACAGGCCTGGTGAGTGGCAGCTGGCTCATCAGTATCGACTGAAGGCGGAGACCTCATTGGTCAGAACGGCTTCAGAAGAACAGCACATGGTGTGATGGCAGCCACTTGAACAGCGTGTGCACAGCGGTGAAGAAAGCAAAGGGAAGACTACTACACTATATTTTTCCCAGGAAAATCATGTTAATGGTGGCAAAACCTAAGAATGGCCCCGAGTATGGGCGCCTCTTAAATGGGGCAGGGGTGCTAAGAATCTCCTGGTATGCTAGAAGCATGATAAATGAGCCGAAGTGGCGCAGTGGTTAGAGTGCAGTACTGCAGCTACTTCAGCTGACTGCTAGTTCAGCAGATCAGTGGATCAAATCTCACCGGCTCAAGGTTGACTCAGCCTTCCATCCTTCCGAGGTGGGTAAAATGAGGACCTAGATTGTTAGGGGGCAATATGCTATTTAGTATATTGTCTTTGGTGTAAGCCGCCCAGAGTCCTCGGAGAGTGGGCGGCATAGAAATATTTTATTTATTAGTTCAATTTATATGCTGCCTTTCCCCAAAGATTCAGGGTGGCTTACAATGCATTTAAAAAACCATTATAAAAACATTTAAAAATTAAAACGTTAAAACCCATTCACACCATTCATGGCCAGGTCTCACAAGATTGCAGCAGCGAGATCAACGGCCCCAGGCCTGCCGGAAAAGCCAGGTCTTCACCGCTTTCTGGAAGGCCAATAGGGTGGGGATGGTCCGGACCTCAGGAGGTAATTGGTTCCAGAGAGCCGGGGCAGCCACAGAGCGGGCCCTCCCCCGCGGGACCGCTAGCTGGCATTGTTTAGCTGACGGGACCTGGAGGAGGCCAACTCTGTGGGATCTTACCGGTCGTTGGGAGTTATGCGGTAGAAGGCAGTCTCGAGCCATGAGCCTTTAAAGCCCTGAGCCATGTAGGGCTTTAAAGGTAATAATCAACACCTTGAATTATGACAGGAGACCAATAGGGAGCCAGTGCAGCTTGCAGAGAATTGGTGTAATGTGGGTGTACCTAGGTGCACCCACGACAGCTTGCGCGGCTGCGTTCTGGACCAACTGTAGTCTCTGAACACTTTTCAAGGATAGCTCCATGTAGAGTGCGTTGCAATAATCTAACCGTGAGGTGACAAGGGCATGAGTGACTGTGAGGAGAGCTTCCTGATCCAAGTAGGGTCGCAATTGGTGCACCAGGCGAACCTATGGAAAGGTGCCCCTAGCTACAGCTGTCAGATGTTGCTCTAATCTTAGCTGTGAGTCTAGGAGGACACCCAAATTGTGAGCCTGTTCTGAGGGGGACAATTTCTCCCCCCCCAGAACCAAAGATGGACAATCAACATAGTCTTTAGGAGGCAATACCCACAGCCAATCGGTCTTGTCTGGGTTAAGTCTGAGCCTGTTGACTCCCATCCAGACCCGCACAGCCTCCAGGCACTGGCACATCACATCCACTGCATCACTGAATTGACGTGGGGTAGAGATATACAGCTGGGTATCATCAGTGTATTGCTGATATCTCACCCCGTATCGTCCGATGATCTCACCCAGCGGCTTCATGTAGATGTTAAATAGGAGGGGAGAGAGGACCGAGTCCTAATGACTAATAAAAAATAAATAAAAATACCCCCCCCCCAAACTACGAATTGGAACGTGGAACCTGAGAAGCCTATATGAATTTGGGAAAACATACAACACTATCCAAGAAATGTTCAAATACAATATCTCTATACTGGGAGTAAGTGAAATGCACCGGCCTGAAAATGGAATGTATAGAATAGGGTGAACTACTCTGGTGAAAATAGTAAACATCATCGAAATGGAGTAGCTATAAGAGTAAACAATCTTGTAAATAAATACATCGTCCTTTATTCCTGTATCTGATAGAGTGATGATGATCCAAATAAATAGTACAGTATATATGAATGTTATACAAGTTTACACTCCCACAGCTGACAGTGATGAGGAGGATTTAGAGAAGTTCTATGAAGTGTATTGAAAACCCTAAAAAGTAATGATATCACAATACTCATGGGAGACTTCAATGCAAAAGTGGGAGAAGAAAGTGATGCTCCTGTAGTTAGAAACTTTGGCTTAGGAACCAGAAATGGTAGAGGTGACAGATTTGTAGACTTCTGCAAGGAACATAGGCAATATGTGATGAATACTTTTTTTAAGTTACCAAAAAGATGCCTCTACACTTGGAGATCACTGGCAGATACACAAAATAATATAGTAAGGAACCAGATTGACTATTTTACAATAAACAAAAGATTTAGAAACTCAGTAAAATCAGCAAAATCATACCCAGGTGCAGATGTACCATCCGATCATAATCTACTACTTGCCGAAGTCCAGCTGAAACTAAAAAAAGATGAAAACCTGAATCCTCCTAAACCAAGAATTGACAGTGATTTCATCATTAAACATGGAGATAAGATAAAAGAACTAGAAATTCAGCGGGTGGTTTGGAGAACCAGTAACAAAAATCCCTGCCCCCTCCCCGCCCAGCTGAACTGCCAATCATCAGAGGCTTTTTAAAATTATTTTTAAAAGCATTTTTTCTAGAACCTCTTTGGATGAAAAAATGCTTTTAAAAGTAAAAAAAAAAAAAAGCCACTGATGATCCCGCGGCTCAGCTGGGGTGTCAGAGGCTTTTAAAAGCATTTTTCGGCCGAAGAGGTTGTAGAAAAAATGGTTTTAAAAGTTAAAAAAAAAAAAAAAAGTTGGCCACGCCCACCGTTACATTACCCCCCACCAAGCCACGCCCACAGAACCGGTAGAAATTTTACATTTCATCACTGCCTCAAAGTAAATGGTGTTCAGATCAACAATTTAAGATATGCTGATGATTCAGTTCAGCTTGCCAGTAAACATGAAGACCTTCGGCTCAGAAATATCTGAAAAATATGGCTTGAAGCTTAACACCTCAAAAACCAAGATCATGGTCGTCAGCAAACAACCCATTAATTTACCACTGATGAATTCAGAAGGAATACCACTAGAAAAAGTTGAGGGGATCACGTACCTCGGTTTTAATTTACATGAAAGCTGGGACATGATCAGTGAAGTAAAGACAAAGATAGAGAAAGCTTGAACAGCATTCTTCAAAATGAAAAAAGTCTTCTGCAGTCACGACATAAGCCTAAGACTGAAAATCAGGCTTGTCAAATGTTACATCTTTTCTATCCTGCTCTACGGAGTAGAGAGTTGGTCTCCGACAGAAAGCCACTTGAAGAAACTAGAAGCATTTGAAATGTGGATTTATAGACTTATAGCTTTTACGTATAAACTGGGTTAACAAAATCACAAATGAGGTGGTGATAAGCCACCTGGGAAAGCAAAGGGAAATCATCAAAGCCATTAAAAAGTGAAAGTTAAGAGTATTTTGGACATGTGATGCAACACCCAGAAAAATAGTGTTTCACTTAATCCTCCAGGGAAGATTGAAGGCAAATGAGGTCCAGGCAGAACATCATGGCTTCAAAACCTAAGGGACTGATTTGGACAAAAATCAGCAGCACTTTTTCATGTGGCTATTGACAAAAATAGGATTGCCAACATGATCACCAACGTCCAATGACAGATATGGCACAAGAAGAACCAATTGTTGAATGCTGGCTTCTTTAACCTGGCTAATCTCAAGCTCTTCCTTCTTCCCTCCTTATCATGAGGGATAACAACTGTTCCTCCAGTAAGTAAAACCAGTTTTCTTTTCAAGAGCCCATCAATGCTTACAGCATGGAAACACCCCTGTGGTGCAAAACTGGCTGGAGCTGGCTGCTGCAAAGGAACCCAAGCAGCCCCCTTCAGGTGCTGGGGAGGGAGAGGCGTCTATTGGGAGCTGCACTCAATGTCTGAGGCAATTTTCTCAGGGTTCAGTCCAGCTGGCCCCAGCGTGGCATAGGACAGCAGGCCAAGTGACCTGGGGGGGCTGGTAATGCGGGAGGGTGGGTAGGGGGGCAGACTGAGGAACTGGCTCACAGCTCTTTCCCTCCACTGGCCTTGAAAAGCAGTAGTTCCCTTCTTGGGAAAGGAACTGGCTACCCTGCAGGACACCCCCACCCACCCCCAAATCCCACTTGTGACAAACTTGCTGTCCTTCCACTCAGCACCGTTATCCACTTTGTAGGGATGAGTTTTACGGCAGCCACAGCTTCCTCTCCCATCCTTGCTCTCTTTCCTGTCAAAGCACCACCTCTGAATACCACCTGGCAGGGCCCCACCTTGACATCTTCCTGGTTTTCTGGGCAACTCCCAGAACTGCCCAGTCATCACAGAGAATCCTGGGAACCTGGAGGCTTGACTAGGTACAGCTCTTCCCACTTTTGAGTTGTATAATGCCAGAAAGTGTTACATAGGTGCCCCTCCCTTATCCCAGAAAACACTACGTGTGTGTGTGTGTGTGTATGTGTGTATGTTGGGGGGTAGAATGGGACAGAGTACGATATCACCAAACTCCTGGTAAAAATTTGAGCACTTCATAGAGCAAACAGCTTACCATTTTGGAAGCAAACATTAATAAAAATGGGAATTGAACATAATGAAAAAAGCCAAATTCAATAAACTTCAGAGGTGGTTTTATCCATGGATAATTAACTCTGATGTCTTTCTAAAATGAGAATAATTGAAAACAGGGATTTGAAGTTGATTCATGGAGGCTTCCCAGAGATATTTATTATTGTAAGCCCAGAAGATCTGTCTGGGTTTTGTCACTGGGGATGACTAAACTTGGTATCCAGATGTTTATTTAAGTTGCTCCCACATAGCTCTGAAGTCAGTTAGCAGAAGGTTATCAGGGAACAGCCCTGCAAATCATTGACTAATATTCTCATTTCTTTTGCAACTTTGATGTTTTCTTTCACTAAAATTCCTGGCCCTTTGCCACCAGGGAAAAAATCTGCTTGGTTTGCAAAAGAGCAGCCTGAAGACATGACATATGATTGTGCCTTCAGTCTGAGGACAGCCAAGATTTTTCACCCCGTCACTAACCCCTGCAAAAATTGATGTAGTGACAATCTGGAGGAATTAGAATGGAAAAAGAAAAGAACAATAGGGGCCCAAAAGATTTTTCACAATTTAATTAGGAATTAATAAACTCCAGCACTTGAGTTTAGGTGAAATTATTCTTCCTTTATATAAAAAAGGCAAAACAAAGTAATCCAAAGATGCATTTATCAACACTCTGCTATAAAACAAAGATTGGTGGTAGCTCAGGACTGTTAAGAGATGGACAGGCCAATCTCCCCCAGATAAATCGATGCAGAGCTAAGGAAGGCCTCTGGAGCAGTGTTTTTGTAAACCTGGCAACGTTAAAATGTGTGGACTGTGGAATTCTGGGAGGCGAAGTCCACACATTTTAAAGTCAAGTTTGAAAAATATTGTACAGGAACAACAGGGAACAGCACAACTGGAACAAAATACATGCCTGTGTATTCTTGTATGTGTGTGGGAGAGAACAGCCATTGTTGTGGTAACTTGCACCTGTTCACTTGCAAACAGAAGGGTGGATGTATTTGGAAAACCCCAAGAAGACTCAGTGGAAAAGCCACAGTCCCCTGCCCTATCTGGAGTACCAGTACGTCAAACCTGTCAATGGGAAGGAAGGAAAAGTAACCAGAAAGGGAGAGTAAATGAGAGAGGCAGGATCAATTGTTGTAAGAAAGAAGCAAAATTCTAGAAAAGGACTGTAACTCTTCTATCTTCAGGTTGATAACAAAGGGCAGAGAAAGAGGAGCCCCCCCCCGCCCCCCCAAAAAACCCTAGCTAAGGCTGCACTCTTGTCTGGAAGACATTCATCTGGGCTGAACTATGTTGCACTTAAGATTTTATTAGGGTCACCCGAGCTCCACTCATGATCAAACAAGACCTCTTTAAGTGCCCCAGTCACTCACTGAAATGCTAGTAGAGCAAAAGTTGGATCTGAAATTCAGCTCCTCTTGGAAAAGCAGAACCAGCAAAATGCCCATCCAGCTGGGGGCCTCCTCCTTAGCCAAGAGCAGCTTCTCCCAATGTTATGAAAGCAACAGAAACCCCTCTGGAATGAACACCTGGACAGTTGCGATCTTTTCACATCAAACTCTCCCTCAGGATCTCTTAAACCAGCCTCTCCATCAGACTTGTGGGATTTCAGCACCCATAATGGAGGCCACCTAGAGGCCTTAGTGCTTCGAGGTCCCAACTCTTCCTTCAGGGCCATTTGGGGAGGGCAGGTGGGACACAGTATTCCCTGCACTCAGCAGTAGAGACAACCACCCTAATGCAGGACAATTTTTCCTCCTCCTGGAGATAACAAGAAGATCCATACAGTGCACAAAGGCCCAAATTTTAATGTAAATTAAAAAGAATGTAGAAACAACTCTAATATAAAAATATTGCAGCCTTGCACTGTGTTTGTTTTTGGAGCAACCCTCACCAGAGAAGACTCCAAGGCAGCTACAAAATTTCTGCTGCTCCTGCATAGCTGATCTTCAATCCCAGAACCTGAAAAGCTGTTTGGTCAAGCATTGCTCTCCTCTCCTAACACTTGTGATAAGCGACTGTCAGGCTCCAGAGCTGTCCTGAGCACAAACCACAGCCAGGCTGCCCAACATTGCACAGCTTTAGGCAACAGTGATGCTGCCCCCAGGCAAAACACACTCCCAACCGGCTCTGACCATGGAGAACTTCTTCAGCAAGGCCTGTCTCTCGTCTGCCAGCCAGTTCTCTTTGGAATCAGTCCTCAGCTGAGCTGTCTCCCTCTTCATCCCTGACTTCTCTGTAGTCGGTCATCATCTGTCTTTCTGACTCATAGTGGACCGTCTTAATCCCAAGCCTTTCAGATAGTTTTTGGGCAGCAACCTTAGCTTGCATCTCCTATGACAAGAGAGAAAACCTTCGATCAGACATTTGAATCGGTGTCAGACAAAAAGCTAAATTAGGTTATTGTAAAGCAAGCACACTAAAGGTATGCAGGTCACAAGACTCCTTTCAGGAAAACATTACAAAATGTAAGGGAGGGAAAAGAAAGGATTCACAATAAATAATAAGAGTTTTGCCAGATAGTGACGAGTCTTGGAAAGCATCTGGATATCAAAAGAACATCAGAATGAGAGAGAGCTAGAAGGCCACAAAGACAAAGGAAGCTTATTCGGATGGAGAAGTGGTGGGGAACTCTCCAACCTCAGGACTGTGACATTTGCATTTTTGTTCAAACACACATCATAAAACAGATACATCACAGAGTAAATAAAGCCAGACCTTTCATCAAAGGCTTTATAGAATCATGTTTAAAGTGAAGGTGTTCAGAGGGAGAAGTTTAAATATTCCAAAATGAAGCATTTCTGGGGGGAAAGAGGCAGCGATTCTTGGAGGTTTGATATTCGCTTGTCTCTACTATACTTAACTAACCAAATGGCAAAATTATTTTCCACCCTCTGGTCACTCACCAGATCCCACCCCCACCCCCGCCTTTCCCCCAATTCTCCCGGTCTCTCGAAAGCGCCCGAGACACAGAAGCCACTGCGGGGGGAGGAAGAGCCGGGGCGAGATGGAGTCTCGCTTCCTAGCCGCGCTCGCCAGGCCCTCCGCCCCAAGCCGGCCCCCGCTCCCCGTCCGCACCTGCCGGGCCTCCTCCTGCTGGACCTGGATGGCCACCGATTCGGCCAGGGGCAACATCCGCGCGGGCGCGTGGCGCAGGGGGGGCAGCCGGGCGGCCGACGCGTCCTCCGGGCGCCGCTTCTCCTTCCGTGGGGCTCCGCCGGGCCGCCTACGGGAGGGTGCTGCTTAGCGGGGGCCCGAGAAGGACCCCGCGGGACGCGCCCGACCCCGCCATACTCACACGCCGGCCCCCCGCAGGCCCCCCGCCGCCGCCCCCAGAGACAGGCCGGCCAGCGCCCCCGCCAGGCCCGCCGGGGGAGCCGCCTCCGGGGCGCCGCCGCTCCTCCTCCTCCGCTCCTCCTCCGCCGCCACCGCCGCCGCCGCCCGCAGCCTGGACACGCATTCGCGCACGCGCTCGCCGCCGTCGGGCAACCGGGAGACCACCGCCCTGCAAGGCACGAGGCAGAAGCTGAGTTCGCGCGCAGCGGGCCGCCCCCCGCCCGCTCGCTCCTCCGCCCCTCACCGGTCACCCAGCAGCCTTTCCTGCCGCAGAAGCATCTCCCGCAGCTCCGGCAGGCTCCGCCCGCTCAGCGGGTTAGGCTCAGGCTTCGCCATGCTGGCAACGAGGGACCGTCGACGGCAGTGGTCGTGCTCTTCCGCCACGTGCTGGGCGCCGCCATCTTGCCGGAAGCCGGTTACGACGGCCGGGCGGGCCAAAAGACCCGGGAGTTACGGCGCCTCTAGAGGAGGAAGCAGCGGGCTAGCTTCGAGCATGCGCAGAGCTGCCGGCGCGTGGGCCGATTGCCAGCTGTCCCGGACAGGACGCCCCCTGCCGGGCCAGCCGTGCTTTCCCCCCTCGACCCGCCCGCCGGAGCCCCGTGGTGCCAACCGGGCAGCGCCAACGCCCAGCTCGGGCGACGGCCACGCTCTGCGGGTCGAGCTCCCCACGCGCGTCCGCGGGCAGCGGCTGATCCCGAGCCTGGCCGAGCTCCGTGGCTGGATGTGGAGCTGCCCAGATTCGGATCGGCAGCCTGCAGCGGTCGGCGCCCCTGGGAGCCGATCTGGATCAGATGCCCGAAACAAGGAAGCGGCGGCCGCATGATTTGGGGGTGCCCGGATCGAGAGGGGATCTGTTCATGGGGGGGAGGGGGCGGAGGCAGCTCCCGCCTGGGCGTCTCTCTTGGAGCGGGGCGGCGGTTGCTTCGATTCGGCCAGATTGCCGGTATAGACCGTTCAGGAGTAACTCCGTATTTCTTGTTTTGGGGAGCCCGAGAGTTCCTGTTTTTAACTCAACAGGTTGTGGTTTTCACTCGTGACAGGTTATGGCCAATTAGACAATGGTTAGTATATAGCATTTATTTCACTTTTCTATGCATATGAAACACTTAAAAATAATGTGATCTTACTAAAAATAGTGGAACAACATAAAGAACAACAACTTTATTCAGGTGTCTATACATAGGACATTCCTTTAAAAGACTGTAAGGGATAAATGCTTAGGAAATCTGGGTTTATAAAACAATGCAGCCATTTAAACATCTGCACTGGAACTTTACAAGCAGAAATGTCAGATCTGGCATGTACTGGCACGTAAGACCTGGGCAGAGTTTCCTGGATCCAGCGAAAAGGCAGGTATGGAAGGATCCCCTGCGCAAAGCAGCACCTGCAAATGAGATGACGACCAATGTGTCCTGAGCTCAGAAAGATGGAGGGGCCAAACCTTTACACCCTCCCTACACAGAGGAAGGCAGGGCGCTCTCGCTGGGTGGTTGTACGCTCTTTCGTCACTAGGGTCGAGGAGCATCACCAGCGTGGCAGAGCCACGGCATGTCCGTGGCATGTGGCAATCTCTTTTGGGCTGTAGCTGCCGCCAGAAGCAAAGTTGTCGCAATGACTGTTTTTCTAAGAGAACCACGAAGATCTGCCATTCTAGATGAAGTTTGGACCACGGATCCATTTCCTTTCCCAGAATTCCTGGACAGAAGCATCTTGCGCAGCGCTGCCTTTATCCAGTTCATCCCCTTTGCTGGCCTTGCAGTCCCCAGGATGGCCCCAGTGCTCAAGGGCCTCAGTGGTGGCCCACCCTGCTTGCTCCCCTCCACCCATTGAGCTAGCCAGCTGGGCATGGCCTCACTTGCAGGCGTCTGCCGGGCCCAGAAGGTGGTGCTTGGAAGAATATTCCAGGACCCGCATGAATGGACGGTAGGTTCTGGCTGGCTTCAGCACTTCGAGAGGCAGCTGGCTTTCGTTTTTGGGGCTGTTGGGACAGAAGCAACTTCACTGTAATTCACTGCACAAATATTAGGCATGTGGATGGACTGGAGGTACAGACCCGAGCTCAGGAGTGAGGCAGGGTCACGAGAAGGTTTGCAGGCAGCTGCCAATCCAGGCTGAGGTGCCTTTCAACTCATCTCTCGGGCTTAAAGCCTTTGTAAATTAACTTTGGTTTACAAGGAAAATTAAAGACAAGACAGCTTGGAAACAGCCCATCAAGCCAGCCTTCTCGTGCGCAGAAACTTTCTACCTGCAGCCCCCTCTGGGTGGAAGCTGCCAGTTGGCCTTGGCCCGCTGCTGGTAGGAGGTCCCATGACAAAATCTAGCCTCTTGTCTGCTCGCCAGGGACCCCAGCCTCACCCACCAAGGGTGCAAAGAAAGCCCCTCCGGCATCTGATATGTCCCCTGTGGAAGACCACCCCCCAGCTCCCTCCAGGAGACCCTCTGCAAAGTAGTCCCTGGATGGCTTGAGGCTGCTACCTGGCAGGGAAGTCACATTCAATCCCGATATCTCTGGTGTCCACCTCAGACCTGGGTTGGGTCTCTCTCAGGTAATCCAAACGGTCCTGCAGCTCCTTGTTCTGAAAGACACACAACGTAGCCCTGTCTCCACCTTCCCTGCCCTGTCAGCCAAGCCTTCCACACCCAGGAGAAAAAGGTAAGTCTCCCTCAAGGGGCGACAGAACTTCACACTTTTCATTTTTCTAAAGCTTCATTTCCCAGAAAATGTTTTTCCAAGGTGCAGGGGGGAGATGCCAACCACGAAATAGCTCCCCCATTTCATCCTCACGATGACCCTGTGAGGTAAACTAGATTGGAGGGGGGGGGGCAGTGAGGGGCCCAAGAGAGTTTCATGACCAACAAGAACTTGAACTCAGCCTGGCACAGTCTTAAAGAAGCCTAGGATGGGTGGATTTTCATCGTGATCAAAGGAAGCTCAGAGTTATGGATGAATGCAGATATCACCTGCTGAGGGCTTTGAAAACCTGAATTTTACAGGCAGAAAGGAAGGTGGGCCTTGCCCAAGGAGGCTGGCCATCTAATAAGACCCAGGAAAATCAAAGCCAGTCACTGGGATTAAAACCATGACCAAAAGAGTTCAGAGCAGCTGAAACAGACGCAGTGCAAGAGATTTTACACAGGAATAGCTGAGCGTAACAGTAACGATTGTGTTCTGACAGTTAATCAAAAACTTACCTCTCCCTCGAGAAAAGAGATTTTCTCTAAAAGTTGTAATATAAAGATCTCCTTTTGTTTCAGCTTTCTCTTCTGTAGCTCTATCTATGGAAAAAGAACAAAAAACAGTAACTCCAGAAAATGCTGCAGCATCCTTCAGTTGACCCACTACGGAGATGTTGCGATCGAAGCCTCTCCATGGGCCGTAATCATCAGACAGTGAAATGACAGGCCTTAAAAGGTTTTTTGCGGAATACAGTTGGGTAATTTTCAAATTGCAATTGGGGCACAGATAAGTATTTAGCACCAGGAAACAGAATTTGCTTTAGGATTCCAAGAATGAATCCAAAGATTTCCTTTTTTTTATTTAGAGTCTTTTTTCCCGTCTTTCCAACAAAAGTGGCCAATAGGATCAAAACGTAAAATTAAAATCATGAGATAAATCCTACAGCCAGAAGACAGAACTGGCATAGAGCGGAGGCAGCTGCTGGAGGCCAGGAGGAGGACTCTCCTTCAGACCCCAAAAGAAGGAAAGGGTCAGAGCACTGGGTGGGAGGGGGTGCTGATGCTCGAGAGCCCCTCCTGTCTGGAGAGGGGGCCAAGCAGACTCTTGCCCCCTGCCTTGGGCCCTTCATGGCAATCTGGCAGGTTTCAAAAGTGGAGGATTTGATCTCCACAGGACAGGAGTTCAGTATTCACGCTCCCCCCTGCTCTGCTGAACTAAGGGTGCCTGTAGAGCAGGTCACCAACACACACCCTGGCGCACATCTTGACTTCCACGGGGAAAAAATAAGGCTTCCCACACTGTCAAGACTCCACCAGTGAGGCTGAGGTGCGTCTCCTGGCCCCGAGTAGTTCACTTTTGGAATTTTGGACACGTTCATGCTTCAGCTTTTACTCCTGGCTTTTGCGCAAAGAAACAAGTGCTTTAGAAGAAAGTGCAAATGTCAGTGACAATACATTGTGGCTCGTATCTTGTAACCAATGCACAAGAGCACAGATTTATTGGGCACCAGTCAGCTATTTGGAAAAGCTGAAAATTCAGTGTCCTTATCAGTAATTGGGCAGACACATTGGCCTCCTAAGGAAATGCAGACTAAATGAACCAAACGGGGCAGGGTGCATTTCACTGGAGCTGTTGCCACAGAGCAGCTGGGCAGAGGCCTCCCCAGCATAAGTGACACATCTTCCCCACTATCGCACTGGGAAGCTGGTGGAACAGGAACCAGGCCAGAGGGGAGTTGAGAGCAGAGTGTCCTGGTGGCAAATGAAGGAAGAGTTGGGCGTGTGCATGAGTGTGCAACAGAGGGGCCATCAGCAGGGCCAGGCGGGGGCAGCAGTAACAATTCTGGCTCCACCAGCCTGAAAGGAAATGCTTGTGAAACGAGGATTCAGACAGACACCCAACAGGACAGCAGCTCCTGAGGCTACAGTGAAATACACCAAATCCTTAAAAATAATGACCAGCTGGCAATTATTTTATCTCAATTAGAGTAATAGCAGCATGGAATAATAATTACCCTTTCCTTGTTTGTTCTGTAGTCAGCAGAATTGCCCTTTGTTGTTGTTTTTAATAAAGGTATTAACCCCCCCCCCTCTTGGCAAAGAATGTTTTCAAAGCAAGATAATTGCAAGTGGAAACAATTTATTAAAATTTCAATAACAAGTTTTAAACAGCAAGACTCTTTTTTAAAAAAAGTAGTTCACTGAAATACAGAGTTGCCAAAAGAGCAGCAGAAGAGCAGTGTCTGAAGCTGGGCACCCAAACCTTCTGTCTTTGAAGACTAAATCTCTGGAAAGCTCCCCGCTTCTTCCGGCCCGCCCAACCTGAGGTCTGCTCCAGATACAAGGCATCCATCAGCCTTTTGGAGTCGGGGAGGCTTTGGGGCCCAACCACCACCAATTTAGAGTGAAACAGCAAAGGCCAGAATCAGTAGGCTTTTCTTTAAAAACAATTACAAAGTATTTATTAAAGCATACCTTCTTATAAACAAAACTGTACTATGTAATAATATTGCACAAGGCAGTGTAAGATAAAAAGTGCAATGGCCGAGTCTCCGGCCTTTAAATGATTGTTCTGTGCCCCAGTTTTGCCCCCTGGGAATCATCCACCATCAGTGCAACAAGGGAGTCAAGGGGGATGCAGAGGGGGGAAAGAGAGAGGACAAATTGACAGCTGTTCCCAGCACATCTGCCACCGAAGCAGTTTTCTCTGTCCTCGTGGACACTTTTGGTGACATTCTGCTTCTCCCATCTGTTTTCATGGCAGTTTTCGCTTTCTTGGGATTCATTCCATCGAGTCAGGTGTTTCATTGGATATCCTTTTCTTCCACAGCAGCCAGAAAGCCCAGTTTCCTAGCATGTTCTCCCTGGACTTGCCCCTCCACCTGGCCTCCTCATCAACTGTAGAGGCCGTGCAGGAATCGGGAGGAACCATTTCGGCTTTCATTGCAAAGGACGTCAGTGTCCTGTAAATGAATATCAGACCGCTGGGCCCTCTGACTTGATATTTCTACACCATTGGTAGCAACTCTCCAGAATCGCATGCAAAGAAAAGCCCCTTTCAGCTTTTGTTACTACCAGTTAACGGAAGGTGTCCTCCAGGTTCATCCATCCAGAGGATAACCAAAAGCGTAAGATGAATGTGGAGTGGAGAAGAACCAGGGAACAGTTTACACCGCTAAATGTTTAATAATACAAGTCACCTATTAATGCAAACATTACCAGCACAAAAGGAATCATTTTATTTCTGCGTTTTGGTCTGCGCAGATGCTCTGTATAATCCAAGCCGAATGGAATTCCACCTGAGAATTCAGGAGAGTCTCGGAGCACCAATGCTCCCACTGGGAGAAGGCGGGGGCACTGCTTGACACACTCTCACACTTTCTGAAAATGTGACTGTCATTGCAAAGAGTTGCTTTTAGGTGATGAAATATTTCAAGCCACCATTACAGCTTTTCCTTCTGTACTCAGCCTTGGCTTAAGCCTTGGTTCAGGTTTCACAATGGGAATGACACGAAAATATCACAAGTGCTTGAAGTGTCGTCTCTGGCCAATATACCTGTGTGTGTTCATTCCCAGTCATGCTTTGCCTTTTGACCTCCAAAATAAGCAGATGAAGATGACCCCTTTTTCGGCTCCATCCAAAAGGGGAATGCCGAGACAGGATTCTTCTGGGTTGCTGCCTTCTCACTGAGCGTTCAAGAACCATTGTAAAGGTAAAAGCCTTGTGTAGGGCTCACAGTGTTTATGGCCAAGGGTTTCTTATTTTGGAGCTCGGATTCTGTGTGGACTGTCCATCAGAACTGCCATCGTACCGCATTGGACTTTTCCAGGTGAGCTACAATATCACAATCCGGTTTGGTTTCTTGGCACCTGAGTCATTTTTCTCCATGGTATATAATGGATCCTGCCCCTTTTTGTGCTGGGTGACCCCCATCTATCATCGTCCAATGAATCTGAGACTAAATGTGGAGAACAGCTCATGGGTCATAACCTAGAGACAGTGTGATGCAGTTGGTTAGGGAAAGGTTGCGCTAAAAGTGGACTCTGCAAACAGTTTCTCAAATAAGGAACTTCTTTTCACACCTTCCTTCCAGGTGCGTCCTGTCCTCCCATCTCTTAACCAGCCTGAGGGGGAAAGTCCGCTACCAGAACAAGGAGCTGAATGTTACTTCCTATAATTAGTCAACACCAACTTGGTTTTCCTTCTTTCAGTCTTACCAAGTGCCAATTTCATATCAGAAAGGTTCACAAAATACATCAACTTCTATGTAGACATTTTATTTTACTTTATTCTGATGTAATAGGATGGAACTTCAGGGCACTTGAGAAAACAATACCTAAGAAATATCAAGAACCATTTTGCTTACATGCTGCTGGGAATCCTATAAAATGTTGGATCTGACAGCTGGTACCTCCTCTGGCAGGCCCTAAAATGGTCAAACTGCTGTATTTCAGAGCTGCCTCTCCCACTGCAGACCTTTCCTGAATTTTTGGAGAAAATCATGAATCCAGGCTATATCCCAGAAGATATACTAAACCCTGATCTGGATGTGCACATTCAAGACAGCTCTTCTAGAATTTCTTCTGGAAATTTACACAAGGTGTGAGAACTTCACCACAGAGCAGGAGAAGCTGTTTTATGTTAATCTGTTGGATGTTAATCTGCTCTTGGAGTTTTTCCTTAGGAGCTCTAATCATCAGCTAGATCATTTGACCCATTGTATGGACGCGTTACAGGTTTTCCACACGGTGCGTGACTCACCTCCTCAACCATGTGCTTGACTTTTTTCTGCTGACACAGAACCATGTCATCCAGGTGCCGGATTCGTTCTCGGAGACTGTCAGTAATTTCCTGCAGCTTGAGAGACCTGACCAAGGAAATAGGCCCATAAAAAATCAACTGGTTCTTTAAGACCTTTCAAAAGTTCTGGCCTGAGATTTTCTTTTCTCTGCTAAGCTTTCTCAATGATCCTGCACCTTCTGCTTCTTGTTTTCCAGAATAGAGTCCAGCTTGCTCTGGTCACTGTCACCTTCCCAGGCCTGCTCAAACACACCTTCCAGGATGGGAGCAGGATGTCCAGACACATCCCTCTTCCAACTGAGTAGCCTCCCCAAGAGAACCAGAAGACCAAGTTCCCAACAGGTGATCTTACCTTGGTTGGCTGGACTGGTCGTAAAGATCCACTCCTCGTAGTTGCATTTCATACTCTATTAATTGCTTTTGCAACTGATGGCGTTCCTAAGGGGATAAATACAGAGGGAAATGAATACATTTTGCTTTAATCAATGACTCGGCCTCCCTCGGTAGCCATAATGCCAGCCAAATAAGTGATGGCATTGACTTTTCAAAGCAATATTCAATGCTGTGACTAAAGTTACCTGTCCGGAGACTGTCAGAGTACCGCATTTCACTTCTCTCTGTCATGGATATTATTGCAGTCTGTGAATGTTGTAACTGTCAGCCCCACTTGGAACCACCTGTGCTGCAGATATTGTGTCGAGGGGTTGTTTGACACTCGACAGTAACTTTCATACACCTGTTGTCAATTTATATTTCAAACAAAAGGGGGATTTTCCCCATTGCCTTAAAATTGCCTGTGAATCTTCTAGAGCACAGGTTTCAAACTCATGAGGTCATGTTGTCATGTGACATATCGTGACTTTTCCTTCATTAAACGGGCTGGGTGTGGCCAGTGTGTGATGGGCCGCGAGTTTTACACCCCTGTTCTAAAGCAAGAATCTACCCAGGCAAATTGCAAGGACTGCCCTGTAACAGCCATTCAAACCATGGCTTCATGAACTCCCAATCTCCACCTCCCTGGAGCTGCATATTGGTCCTCAAATAAAGAAATGACTCCTATAGAACACAATCTCAACAGGACAATCCTGCTCTAGCCAATCTCTCCCTATAGACCCCGCCTGTCAAATAAATGAAAGGAGCAGGCCTCTGAGGGGTCCGAAGGCCTCAGCCAAGAAAGGGGAAGAGGCTAGGAAAAAGTGCACTTTTATGTTCTGAAAAGGGAGAAGAGAGAGAGAATCTGCTACAACCAGTTCAGCAGCCCTGCCTTTCCGGTGGCCTGGATTATCTGGGCAGTAGGACTTGTTTTCCTAGGCAAATTGTGAGTTCCTAAGAATAACAAGTCTGCTGACAGATCATTCTGATTTCTGAAAACCCATCCTGCTCTATGGCATCGTTGAAGTGGCACAATCTTTCGCCCACCTACATTGTCCATTCCTGCCACGGTTGGTGGACTCGGCAGCTACTTGGAGGCTGGGCCCTTCCAAGAATACCCCATGGAAAGGAAGGAAGACCAGTCTGGGGGGGGGGGATATTCCGCCCCCCTCTGCCTTCCAGCTGCAAAGGGATCTTTTGTCTGCAGACCACTTCCAAAGCCATTTGATCAAGGAATAGACACAATAAATAACCTCTCTAGAATATGGAGGAAAACGATGAAAAGGACTGTCCCTGGCCTTCCTGCTACATATGTGAAATATTGTGGACTGCAAAAATTCAGGAGATTTTAATCTTTATTTTGCAAAGTGCGAAAAGTGTGAAATAAATACCTCCAACATACCTGTACCCTTATATTTAGAAAAAGACTTAAGTGATGTTCTTACATTTTCCATGCGCTGAATGAGTCGATCCAGCTCTCCAATTCGTTGATCTTTTTCCTGCAAACTTGTCTCTGTAAGTCTCATCTTCTTATTGGCATCCTCAATGGCCATAAGTAAACGATTTGTTTCCAACTTCCAAGAGAAAAACACATCAGATCACATTCCCCCGACTGGCGATTCCAAGGCCACCTGCTGCCTGGCTTCTAACACCAGGTTGTTCCCCTCTTTCCCCAAATCCTAAGAATTGCTTGCAGCAACAAAAAGCAACCCATTCCTGGTCTTCCACAAATCTGTTTCCACATTCCTCCTGGCAAGACCACAACCATAATTTATTCCCAATGATTTTACAGCTGTTAAAATCTCCAGGGAAAGGAAGTGAATTCATACAGATTTGTAAAAAAGACACCCCCCTCTTACCGTCCAGTTCCCCATATGCTTATTTTAAAACTATGAGTTTTCTCATAGCTGGGAAACCTGAGCTTTCTTCTTGGCTAAAGTCAGCTTAACTTGTAGCTGAGTTTAATGAGACCGACTTCTAGATAATATGCACAAAGCCACTGCATCCGCAGATTCCTAAATTTGCTTCGGCATCCTTATTCCTCACACATTATCTTTATTGTTTCTAAAACTTTTGGAAAGTCATATTTTAAGAGAGGAGATTCTGCATTAAGTAAAACATTTTCTATATATGTATATCATTCTTCTGTACAACTGAAAATTGTATAAAAGCACAGATGTCCTTTACACACTCCAACAAGAGCCCCATTCAAACTGATAATTTAGCAAACTGAATTTCTATCGTTAAACTTTGGGACGTTGAAAACTCCTATTCACAGACTGCAAACAACCCCAGAAACTGACTCGCCACCCTGATTTGCACTAACGGTGGCAGCCCTTCCGAAGGGAATGTCAGAGCGTCCCACGTACAAGGAGAGTTTCTTTCTCAAGTTTATGTTTCTGTTCTTCTTCTTGAAGTTTTTCCTCATACTGACTGTATAGTTTCCTGGTCATCTCTCTCATGACTTCTGCATTTGCTTCTTGTGAGCCTTCCACCTATTTAAAAAAATAGAAAGTGGGGTGGGGACAATGACAACTCTACTTAATGAAACAAATGCAAGAGAGAAATAGATGCCGCCCATAAAAAATCAGCTTTGTCTATGGCAGCCAAATGGATCTGAGTAAAAGGGAGCGCTAATAAGCACCCTGCCTTTGCGCAAATCCAGGCAATGTCTGCAAGGCTTCTGCCCCTTGTTTACACACTGGGTAAACTTCAAGTGGTAATAGTAGCACACGGCCTTTTGTTTGTGATGTGGCTTCTGTTCCTCTTGCCTGCCTGGAGTGGGGGTGGGTGGGTAGAAGGAAATGTGACAGATGCCTTCAAGCAAAACCTGCTAGTTGCAAGTCAAGAACGGTGCAGCTCAGCCCCCCCTGTGGGAAAATGGCTACCTTGGGCCTCCAGGGCAAGCTGAATGCAGACGCCTGAAATCCCAGATTGCCTAAACAGCACGGGAAGCAGGAATGTGGGCAAGTTTGGAGATTAAGTCTTGCCTGATCATCCCTCTTTGCTTCTGAGCCAGAACACTTCCAACCAGTCCATGGTTTTGGATGGCTCTCCTGGGAACTGCCATCCGGGCAGAGATGAAATCCAGCAGGTTCTGACAGGTTCTGGAGAACCGGTAGTGCAAATTTTGAGTAGTTTGGAAAACCGGCAAATACCATCCCTGGCTGGCCCCCGAGTGGGATGGGAATGGAGATTTTGAAATACCCTTCCCCTGCCACGCCCACCAAGCCATGCCCACAAAACTTGTAGTAAAAAAAATTGGATTTCACCACTGCATCCGGGGCACGCATTCCCGCCACTCACCTTGAGACGGAGCAGTTCATTTTCCACCTTGGCAGTTTCCAGTTGCTTCTGCTTTTCCTTCAGTTTTTCCATGGAGTGTTCATGAGTTTGTTTCAAGTTCTGTATCTGGTCACGTATAACTGTGTTCTCCAAAGTAACATCAACTAAGGTTTTCTGAAAACGTGTGCAATAAAACACAAAATTATTTCACAACTGTTTGACAAAAATTAGGATGAATTTTTTTTTAGATACACTTTGGGGCAAGAACTGCAAAGAACTAACTAACTCTTCTGGATTTCTTAAGAATGGAAATGTACAAAATGCATGTTATATTGGAAGAGGGCAGCAAATCATCTTCTAGCTTAAATCCATCCAGGATTTATTGACTTATTTAAATCTACTGACTAATTCCGGTGGACTCTGGGTGATGAATGACCCAGGAAACATTGTTAAGACATTGGAATGGAATGGAACGGAACAGAACAGAACAGAACAGAACAGAACAGAACAGAATAAAATAGAATTCTTTATTGGTCCAGTGTGATTGGACACCCAAGGAATTTGTCTTGGTGCACACGCTCTCGGTGTACATAAAAGAAAAGATACATTCGTCAAGAATTATAAGGTACAACACTTAATGATAGTCATAGGGAAACAGTCAATATAAATCTTAAGGATGCCAGCAACAAGGTAACAGTCATACAGTCATAAGTGGGAGGAGATGGGTGATAGGAATGATGAGAAGATTAATAGTAATGCAGACTTAGCAATTAGTTCGACAGTGTTGAGGGAATTATTTGTTTAGCAGAGTGATGGCGTTCGGGAAAAAACTGTCCTTGTGCCTAGTTGTTCTGGTGTGCAGTGCTCTATAGCATCGTTTTGAGAGTAGGAGTTGAAAGTTTATGTCCAGGGTGCAAGGGGTCTGTAAATATTTTCACAGCCCTCTTTTTGATTTGTGAGTTAATTAAATTAATAAACCAATACCATTGAATTAGTACTGTGAATAAAGCCTAGGAATTTTCAGCACAATATCCTTTTATAAGCAAAGCCATTTCCAGAGAGCCAACTTTCAGCATGCCGAATTTCAGATTCAAACCTTTCCCTCTACGGACAGGGCTGCAGATCAGGCCCTGCCCTTCAAAGGCTGACCCAACAGAGTGGGGGAGGAGCTGGGGGGGGGGGCCTTTATCAGCAACTTACCTGCAGCTCAATGGATGCCGAGGTCAGTGAACTGCTCATTTCACGGAAGCTCTCCAGGGCTGCCGCGTGCACCTGGATGTGGTTTTCTAGGGATGCCTGCTCAGCATGTGATACCTGCAGAAGTAACGCCAGGTTTGAGTTTCAGGAAGCAGGAATTGCACAGAGGCAACAGGCAGGCTTGGAATTAACACCCTCATCCAAGGACTTTTATTAGAAGCCCATAAAAGAAAAAGCAACCTTGGTACATTTGCCAGAGCACAAACTGCTGGCAGGGAAGTGAGGCTGGAGCCTGTTTTGGCAAAAAGAGTCATCTTCCTCTGGCAAGCTGCTGAATCCATAGATTCTCCCTAACTCCCCATCCATGGCAGTCCACCAACATCTGGCAGGGACAAGAAGCAGCTCCATATATCCAAATAAAATATTCTCTTTAAAGAGACACTGAAGAAAAGGTTCAAGTACAAATCCTAACCCAGATGGACTTCAGGAAAAAGATTTACGGAAAATATGTGAGGTTACATCAGTTATTGTGCTCCATATTGGAGATCTGGAACAGAGGTGGCTCTTTGGCATTTCAAAGGAAAGTAATGTAAGAGAAGCAGAAATCTGCAAGCCAGACCAGGCAGTGCCAGGCTGCCAAAGAAGGGGTCCGCACACTGAACGGGCACATGCCACGATGGCCTGCCAATGCAAAAGCCATCGGAGTGTAAAGGATGCTTCAATAAAGGCGATCCATATTTTCCATAAACACCACAAATTAATCAATTGCTTTGTAAAACGCTTGATCGCCCAAGGCCTGTGCGGATTTAGGCCATCGTGGGAGGAGTCTCTTGAGAAAGGGATGGGAGAATTTCTCTTGAGAAAGGGATGAGAGAGATTTTGCGAAGCTTCTTCTCCGGTAACATTGTACTGCAAACTAGGGCATATAAAACCTTTGCCAGACCAATTCTTGAATTCAGCTTGTCTGCCTGGAATCCACACTGTATATGGGACATTAACACAATTGAGTGAGTCCAGAGGTACTTCAAGAGAAGAATACTCCACTCCTCTGCTCACAAATGAATACTTTATGCCACCAGGCTCAAAATTTTGGGATTGGAAAACCTAGAACTACTATGCTGCCTATGGTCTGACCTAAGTATAGTACACACAATTGTTTGTTACAACGTCCTACCTGTCAATGACTACTTCAGCTTCAACCACAATAATACACGGGCAAACAATAGATACAAATTCAAGGTAAACTGCTCCAAACTCGATTGCAGAAAATACAACTTCAGCAACAGGGTGGTCAACGCTGGAATGCTCTACCTGACTCCGTTGTTACAGCTTCAACCTTAAACTGTCTTCCGTGGACCTCACCACATTCCTAAGAGGTCCACAAAGGGGGCGTGCATAAGCACACCAGTGTGCCTACCGTCCCTGTCCTACTGTCCCCATTTACTTGTACTCATTCCTAGTTCATGTCCATGTTTATACTTATACCTGTTACCTAGTACATGTTTGACAAATTAACTAAAAATAAAAAAATAAAAATAAAAAGACCACCTCCGCTGGGATGAGGAAGCTGCAGCTGGGGAGGCTCCCAACCACTCTCAGAAAGCATCCGTTTGGTAAGAAGTGAAGCCAGAGTGTCAGACCCCAACACGGACGGTCTGGAGGCACACAAAGCAGTTCTGAAAGCGGAAAGGAAGAAGTTCGCTGCTCAGCCACCATTCAGGTCCAGCTGCACTTACCGTCAGTTCACTTGAGAGTGCCTGGATTTTGCGTTTCATTTCATCGTATTCTCCGTACATTTTGTTTCTTACTCTTTCCAATGTTAATCTCACCTGGAACAGAAAGGTTACAATACATAAAATTGTTCTCCATGCTGGGTAAACAGTAATTTTCAAAATCTAAATAATCAAATGTTTATAAAAGTAACTGGAAACCAAAGAATTTAAGAAAATCCTGGCTGTTTCTTTCTTGTATCTGGGATCTGAGGCAGGTATAATGTCAGACCTCTCACAGCTTTAAATGTGGTTCCTCAGCTAAGCCCAGAAGCCCCATCCCAGGGCTCTCCCCCATTCACAGAGCCATATGATGTCTCCATTCTTGTCCCGCTGCCTCAGAGAGGAGGGAAGCCTACACCTGAGTAAGAGATGCTCCCCACCTGCCTTGCCCCACTTGGGGCTTTTGGCTTACATTCTGCTCCTGAGTGTGAGGGGGCGGAGGATGTTTGTTTAGAGAGGGGCCTGCCCTGCGTCCAGCCTCTGAAGAGTCTCGGGGGCAGATGGGGTAGAATGTAGCCCTACTGCCCTCTGAGATCTGCCTACAGACATACCTGGGCAAAACCTAATGTGACATAAGGCACCTTCCCGCCATCCTCTCTACCTAGTGGCCACCCTGGAGACTCACAAGTGATGTGGCCAGGTCTACGGGGGCATCTGATCAGTGATACATGCACCAGGCATCTAAATGCATGGACTTGGGAATACTTTGTAAAATATAAAGATATGCAAATTATATTCCAGACAAGAAATTGACTTCATTTCACAATTTTGTTCAGACAGAAGCCAGAACTGAATGCAGGGAGTAATGAAGTGAATTGTCCTCATTTATTATTTTTATTTTATTTTATTAAATTTCTATATCGCCCTTCTCCCAAAGGACTCAGGGCGGTGTACAGCCAGAAATAAAACTATAATAATATAAAAATTAAAAGCAATTTAAAACAATCAAATTGGCGAAAACTCTAATAAAACAACTCATTCAAATAGTAAAATATTATTATTATTTAGCCACTGGAAGCAAAGCCATCAGAGTGCTGGACTGAGAAAGAAAAAAACTTTTGCTTCAGGGACAGAAGGAAAGGATGGGGAAGGGAGCAGCAGCCAATCAAAATCCTGCAAGAACATTGTATAAAAATGTGACTCACATCTCGTATATATCTCATTTCTTCTTTCAGTTGGTAAGCTGACCATCCATAAACCACCATTTCTTTGTTGTGGTTGTCATCAGACCGGTGCACTACACCATACACAACACCGTGCTTTAAGTCCCCAGCAGACAATCCGCCAGGCGCTTGGTAGAGTTGCTGTCGGAGTATATTCAAAAGTTATAAATGTAAAGAAAAGGGAAAGTAACACATAATTGTATGACTTTTCCTAACCTGCCTTTAATTTCATAAGGCTCTTCAAGATAAAAGGATGAAACTTTTTCAACATCAAGTAATATTACCAGAATATGCTCTTTCCTAAAACTGCTCTGAACATCATTGGTTGGCACAGCACTAGCATCAGCTCCTCACCTGAGCCTGAATGGATCCTGGGCCAGCAGGGCAGAGGATCTCTGAGGCGTTGCTCTAAGGCAGCAGGAGGAAAGGACTACTCCCTGCCTGTCTCCCTGGGCAACATCTGGTGACCCTCTGGGGCTGGCCTAGACGGGCCTTCAGCCAGATCTTCCTCTCTGAGCACCTTCCACGTTTCCACATAGGGAACCACATCATCGGTCAAAACTAGTTGTACACTTGAGCCAAGCTCTGAACTCATTGATCAGGCACCAAAGAAACAGAAACCCTTCTAGAGTATGAATTCAACTGCTATCTTTTAAAACCAATTTGTCTTCCTCAAGAAGGGAAAATCTATACCTACTTTATTAAAATGTTCTTATTGCACGCAGTCATACAGAGAAGGGAGGGAGGGGGTGATGTCATGCAGAAGCTGAGGCCAATCCTGCTCCTCTGTCCTTCCGGAAGCTCCTGCAGGAGTTGCCTTTAATGCCCAGAGAGCATTTGACATCCAATTTTAATTCATTGTCTAAAACATCAACTCAATATAAGCTACTCTGTTGCAATACGTGGGCATAGTCACCTCGTTGCCTAATGGCATTCAGACTTATCACACAAAATATGTTGTTTTGTTTAGACAAAAGGTGGAGAGGAAGGCGTTTCCAGATGAACTGGGTGGAGTGCCAGATGCAAAAATAATTTTTCATTTCCTGGATAGTTTTATTAGGTCTCATATCCAACACTTGACTGTAATATTGTTCCTAGCTAAGAGCTGCTCTCTGGCACTAAGGAGTGAAGTGACTGGAGCTGAGAATAACAGGTTCAGGAGTATGTGCTCTTCCGAAGAATATGTACAGAACGGAAAGTTCTGGCACTGCTCAAAGTATCACATTCTTCCCACTCAAGATAGCCTGTCATAGTTCATTAATGAGCTATGCTTACACAAAACTTTACACAGAAACAAAACCTAATTAAATCTGGAGACTCTAATTCTCTCCTTTCCAACACACAATGACCTAAGAGGAGCCCTTCTTGAACATGAGGATGTGTATTTCTGAGCAGTATCCATAGGATTCCTCTCTAATCCCTCTTCTCTGCGCAAAGACGCTGGGTGTTTAATAGTTTCCCACAAGAGCCATTTAACGTGGTTTCCCAGTGACCCCCATGGCCATGGGTGATAATACTCTGGACTTCCTGCTTTTTAAAAAGTATTGAAGCTGATAAGGTGATGTGGGTTTTGGGGTTCTCTGTGGCTGCCTTCTGGGGGCAAATCAGTATATTTGTGAAGTTACACAACCCAGGGCTGGATGAATAAAACAGAACAACAAATCCGGTCCATAATTTTGATGTAGGATCTGAGTTCATACAGCCATCTCTGAATCCCTCTCACTATAGGACTGTAAAATGTCAGGTTAATAATATAAACTGTGCTGCAGGTTTTTAATAAAATCTAAATTTGTTAATTCAGTTAGCCTGATTCCCTCCCCCAAATGCTACATGTTAAGAGTAAGGGAAATATGGTTACTATTTCCAGTCATATTAAAAAAATAAACAGTATTCCCAGGCAAGAGCCTATTGTTTGCTGCAGTTCAAGAGGGGAGTTGTTTCTCAGGTCAACAGGAAGGTATTTGGCTGGAGAAGCAAAACTTTCCTGCAGCCACTGGTGGATTCGAGCTCCCTGCAGAGGTCTTCTTGGCCAAGTGAGCAGCCGAAAGCCTCAGGGATGATGGCCAGAGGGAATCTGGGCTTTGCCACTCCCGCCCCAGCATTCACTCCACCCATGCTCTGAGCCGCCCCCTTGGCTTTCCCTTCCCACTACAGCGCAGCCACCTCCATTTTTCCTGTGTGAAGGCAGATCAGCACATCAGGATCCAGAGAGCAGCCTCCAGGGTGATCTAACCAGATTTTCAGTAACCTTTGGCCCCCCTTTGGCTGTGCAATGCCCTGTCATTTCCAGCAGGAAGAGTGTGGTGGGGGTTCTTTGTTGGCCCAGCAAGCGCTGACTTTTATGGCCAAGGTAGCTCCTCTGGGTGGATCTGCAGAGCACACACACCCCCAACCCCACCTCTCTGGCATCACCCCTCCAACCCAGGCCACAAGAGAGCAGTAACATCTGTTCAGCATCCAGGGACTAGAGAAGTTGCTTTGCTGGCCAGTTCAGTGTTGTCCCTGGAGCCCCACCCAGGCCAGCCGGCATTGTCTCTCAGAGGGCAAATTACAGCTGTGTTGCAAAAGGCCGACTGGCACCAACAGAGTGCAGGGCTGTTCACGTGAGCTCACAAAGCCATGGGTGTGGTGACAATAAAGCTGTTAGAAAATTCACATGAATTTGCTGGATGTTCCAGGTGGGGAAGAATGGAACTCTCTGATTTTGGCCTGGCGCATGTGAAGTGTGCCTTGAAAGCTCCTCTTTGCACGAGTGGGGTGCCTGTGCTCCAGAGATGGGATTCAAATCCTGGTGCTACTGGTTCGCTATCGGTAGCACACAAGTGTGTGCGCGTACACAGAGCGCTTTTTATGACCTCTAGGCAGGTGGGAAGAGCCTCCTGCCGCCACTGCTACCTTGTTCGCCGCTAGGGCGAACCGGTAGAAACCCACTCCTGCTGTGCTCTCCCCGGGCTTCTGCAGGAGTCTACGAACCCTTTCCCACATGCCCTTTCTCCAATTTAAGTCTATTATTATGGGCATTTTCTCCCCACAGTACAAACAGCAATTAAGTCAGGAAAACCATGCAAGGGGAAGAACTAAATAATGTTCAGTCAAAAGGAGGTTTCCATACAAGGTCCAAACATCAACCGCCACCCCCATGTTAGCCAACCCATCTCCCTCTGGTGATAACCCCAAAATCCCTCAAATTGGGAAGGGCGGAAGGGCCTCTGAAATCATTTCCTAATCAGGTTGTAATCTATATTATGAACATTTTCAAAATTAAGATCCAGCAACAGCTTTTCCTTCAGAACCAAACTATCTGGCTTAATTTAAAAAAAAAAAGCACTGAACATCTTTGGCTGCATTTCCCCCCAAAGGATGAAGGAAATTTCCACCCAAAGAAGCTGAGAGTGTTTCTGTGGCAGGATCTGCCCTCTTGGAGAAATGTTGTGGGCTTCTTTTCAAATGCTCATTTCAAGCGGCCCAGGCCCCTCGGAGGCCACAAACCAAAGGGTGTCCTGTGAATTACTGCCCATCTCACCTTTGAGGTCTTTTCAGCCGTATTTGTCCCTCCCCAAGGCGGCCAGCTTTCTTCCGGAGGCAGAGTTAAGCGTAGCCGACAGATGTTTGCCTGGAGGACAGGAAAAATAAACAATAAATAAATATTCGGGGCACCAGGCAGGTTTACAATATTTACAGATGACATGAGTAGCGCACTAAAACAGCCTAATATTTTTTACTGGCCTTGTTGGTTTTGGTGGAAACCTGTATCAACATCCTGCCTTCCGTTCTACTAAAACTGAACTTGCAAGGGACACTTGGTCAGGGGAAAGGCGGCACCAAGGGTCGCCATCGCATGGCAGCCCTCCAAAGAGGGAGCACGCAAAGGGCGCCCCTCCTGCCCCACACGGCCCTCTTCTCCGTGCCGGCCTTGCGTTGACTCGGGCAAGGGCAGCAAGGCAAGGGCCCAACTGGAAGGCCCTCCGAAAGCCTCCGCCTGACCTGCTGAAAGACCTTCGGCGCCGCCCCTCCGGCTCTGCCTCCGAAGGCGGCCTATGTGGAGCCCCCGCCGCCCGAGACGCCGGAAAGCGGCGGGCGAGGTCTTTCTGCCCGTTGGCCGCCGCCCCCGGAGCCCCCACCTTCACCGGAGCCCAGCCGGGACAAGCCTCGCCGGGAAAACGCCGAAACGCTCGCCAGCCCTGCGGACGAAGGCGGGCGGCGGGACGGCCACCGATCCGGGGGCTCGTCGCTTCCAGGGCCACCCGCGGGCCCCTCGGGAAAGGCAGGCGGCGGGCCCGGCGGGCCGGCAGGAGCGTCTCTTTGCTCGTGGCGAAGCTTGGCCGGAACAGCCTCCCCGCCCTCCTCGGCCAGGGCCCAGAGGCCGCCCGCTCACCTTCCGCCTGCTCTGCGGCGGCCTCGGCTTGGTGCGGGTCACCGTCAGCCCCGAGCTGTAGCGCAGCATCTCGCCCGCCGCCCCCGCCGCCTTTGCCTGCCCGCTCCCCGTAGCCTCCGCTACGGCCGGGCGCGGCGCCTCCTCGGGCCAAGTGAGCCGCTCCGCCGCCCCGCGCGGCAGAGGAAGGCCGCTCGCCCCGCCCCGCCCCGCCCCGGCCCGGCCCGGCTCAGTCTCGCTGCCTTTTCGGCTCTGAGGAAAGCAGCGGCGGCGGTGGAGCGGACGGTCCCTCTTAGGCGGCTCCGGGAACGCCGCCCCAGCCTCGCCCCGGGAAGCTGCGGAGGGCGCCTCCCTCAGCCAATAACCCGTCCGGGCCCGGCCGAGGAGCGAGGCTAGCCGAGCCCTTGGGCGGTGGGCGCAGAGGTCCGGCTTCGGCCTCGGGTCGGGCAGCCCGGGTCTTTTCCGTCAAGCTGCGGAGGGCGGCCCCAGTCCGAGCCCCGGGCTCGGCCCTGCAAGCCGGCCCAGCCTTGCGTGTTCCCCCTCGGGGTTGGGGGGAAAGTCAGCTGGCCGTTTGCCCCAGCTCGGTCTTGCCGGCCCCGTCCGCGTCAGAAGGCCCGGCTCCTGGAAGGAGGACGACGACCCGGTGTCACACGGGACACTCGGGCCTGGCCTGGCCGTCGGGCTATTCCAAAGTCAAACTTTGGGTTCCGAGGGAAAAGTGGACTCATCATTTCAAGGCAAATGTGGATTTTCTGTTTCCAAAATGCCTTCGGCTGCTTGTTCCAGAACCCGGCACCCCTGCCAGGCAAGCCCCTAAACTGAGGGCAAACTGCACTGCTGACTAGCACTGGTGACGTTTCCTAGTTTGGGTAATGAAAGGCCTCCACCAAGAAAACAAGCTCAGCCAGCACCAAAACCCCTCACCTTAACCTAAAAATAGATTTTATTCTCCCTGCATCAGATAAACCAGTTATTCTTCCAGTTGTTTTAGATTTAGATACTGCTTTTTAGTCGTGATTACAATAGGCTCCTGTACCATTTTCTTAGTCAAAGGCAACATTTCCTCAAACAAAGAGGCTCATCGCAAGTGGCAGCTGAGGGGAAAAACCTGCCGGTGTCCTTTAGCAAAAGGCAATAACAAGGTTGTTGCATCAGGGTTAGAATTCGCCCTTACAATGTCAGTTGAGCAATTAAGCCAGAATGACACAAATGTGACGCACCCAAGGACACAGTTATCAGTGAGCAGCAGCCTGAAGTGGCTGCCAATCACAGGCTCCAGCCATTGAATGACTTTATTCTTTCATGCCTATCCACCCAAAGGCTTTCCTGTTGAGCAACAAGAAGAAATGGCAAAATCTGAGAAGCAGCGCTTGCCCATCCAGGCCCCGGGAGTCGTGAATCAGCGTATCTCCTCCAAAATCAAAGCTTCAGAAGTTGGAATCGGCTCCTGCCTCCCTTGCTTTTGTTCATTTTTGTATCTTGGATCAGGACCTTGATAGTCCCATGTGGCTTCTCTGCGCATCCCACAAGGGCACTCTTGAGCCCTCAGGAATGCGCAACAGCCTATAAAGAAAACCTGTATAAGATGTTTTATAGATGGCATATGCCACCAGAAAGATTAGTTAAGATGTTTAAAGATAAATCAGCTGTGTTGGAAATGTCACCAGTTGCCGGGATCATACTATCATATCTGGTGATTGTGTAAAAAAGCAAAACAATATTGGGTGAAAATACAACCATGGTTAGAGGGAATGTTGCAGCAACATACAGAGTTAAAACCAGAGATATTCTTATTGGGAATTTTACCAGAGAATTATAGTAAAGAAGATACATATTTGATTATTCATATAACAACAGCAGCTAGAATTGTATTTGCACGAAATTGGAAAGCAGATAAAATCCCGTTGGAAGGAGAAATCAAAAAGAAAATTTTAGAATGTACAGAAATGAATAGATTAACATTGAGAATAAAAGATAAAGAGGAGTTGATGTATTTCTAGACATGGGATAAATTTTATGATTGGTTAGAAAAGAAACATGAATAAGGACATAGAGATAAAATAGATAGAGAATAGATGGGAGAAAACAATTAGAAAAATAGATACCCAGATAATGTCAAGTAAAAGGAGAAAGGGGAGAGGGGGGGTAAAAGGGGAAAAAAGTAAGATATAAAAATGTACACAAATGAAATAAAAATAAATAATAATTGAATAAGAAATTGAAATAAGAATAAAGATAATTAGGAAATCGGGGCTGCTCTAATACCACTTTAGATTGAACTGAAAAGGGAAACAACAGGAAAGGGGGGAAGGAGTAGAGAGAGGAAGGGAGAAGGGGAGAGGAGAGAAGAGAAAGAAGAAAGGGAAAAGGAGAGGAAGAAGAGGGAGGGGAAAGAGGAGTAGAAGAGAAGGTTAGAAGAGGGGAAGAAGAGTGGGGGAAGAGAAGGGGAAGTAGGAAAGAGAAGGAGAGGAAGAACGAAGGAAGTAGAAACAGGAAGGAAGAGAAGGGGAGGAGAAGAAGAAAGATTGGAGTAAAGGTAAGGTAAAAGAGCAGCCCCGAAAAAGTAATGAAAAATGAAAGTTAAAAGAAAAGATGAATGAAAAATGATGGAAATGACTGTACATGTAAATGTGTTTATGAAAAATAAAAAATTTTTATATAAAAAAAAAATGTGCAGACAATCCCAATAGTCAAACACAATCCGCTTTGGCAAACAAAACTATAAAAATTAACATAATGGTAGATTGTGTTGTTTACACAGCAGGCATCATCTATTCTTCATATATGCACCCTGGCACTACATGGGACTGGCCTGCCTCAGGGCCAAGGAGGCGAGCGGCCCAGAAGCAGCCTTCGCTTTGGACTGAAGGTAGCAGAGAAGAAGCTCCTTTCTCACCCCAAAGGGATGGTGTGGGCCTGGAGCTTGAGGGCCCCATCTTGGGAATGGTCAATTCTTCACATTCGGTCATCCTATTGGTCATTAGACTTGGGGTAAGTTAAGAGACTTGGCAGCCGTTGTGTATTCTCTTTGTATACTCCTAGTTTTACTTATAATACTTAGCCTACTTAATAAGTACTTAGGCTCTGTCAAAGCCTATAATAATTTAGCCAATCTGACTTTAATTGAGGCTCTCCCTTCAATCATATATGTAGCCCTGACACTAATTAGGGCTGCATAATGGCCTCGCCATGGATCTGATATTGCAAGTATTTGTTTTGTTTATAGACTCATATCCTGGTCTTTCAGTGATTATTCAAAGGCTGGAGAGAGTCTGACCTCCTAATTCTTGGCTTCACCCAGAGATGCAATTGTGTGAATGAACGAGTTCATAGAAGAAACTCTGTAGCTCCGGATTGAACTCTGCTCTCCTGGCTTGATGGTTTGCCTGCAGACCTTTTGCTACCCAACTAGGAAACATCCCACCTTCCGCTGCACTGATGAAGTTACCTAGTCGGGTAATGAAACATCTGCAAGCAAAGCACCAAGCTCAGAGACCATCAAGGACTCCAGAGGGGATTAAATACTGAAGTACCTGAAAAAAAAAGATATTCCTTAGCCGTCTAGCTGAGATTTCTGTTCAAGAGCCCCTTTTTGGATTGTCATCCTACCCTTCTGCTCCTGCTATGGGGTTTCCCACCAGTCCCTTACCTTTAAAGACCCACTGCTGGTAGGCACAAAGGTCTCTGCTGTCAGGGCTGATGTCCTGTTTATCTTTGCTTAGAACCTATTGACAGCTGATTAGGTAAAGGTAAAGGTTCCCCTCACACATACCGATATGTGCTAGTCATTCCCGACTCTAGCGGACGGTGCTCATCTCTGTTTCAAAGCCGAAGAGCCAGCGCTGTCTGAAGATGTGTCTGTGGTCTTGTGGCCGGCATGACTAAACGCCAAAGGCGCACGGAATGCTGTTATTTTAGCCTTGTGTTTGTGAATGAGAGATTGACACCATCAACTTTAGAACTTTATGATGAAGGTTGGGGATAGGGGGCACCGTGCTGTGGTGGTTCTCCTCCTTCCTCTCCGATCGGTCACAGTTCGTGTTGACGGGGGGACAGAGATCTCGAGGCGCCTTGTGTGTGGGGTGCCGCAAGGGTCGGTTCTCTCGCCCCTTTTGTTCAACATTTATGTAAAGCCGCTGGGTGAGATCATCTGTGGTTTCGGGGTGAAGTGTCACCTGTACGCTGACGATACTCAGCTGTACATTTCCACCCCGGACCACCCCAACGATGCCCTTGATGTGATGTCCCGGTGCCTGGAGGCCGTGGGGATCTGGACGGGGAGAAACAGGCTCAGGCTCAACCCGTCAAAGACCGAGTGGCTGTGGCTTCCGGCATCCCGATATAGTAAAGTTGGTACCATCACTGACTTTTGGGGGCGAGTCGTTGGCCCCCACAGAGAGGGCTCGCAACTTGGATGTCCTCCTGGCTATCTTTGGAAGAGCATATGACAGCTGTGGCCAGGGGGGCTTTTTATCAGGTTCGCCTGATCCACCAGTTGCGTCCCTTTCTGGATCGGGATGCCTTACACACAGTCACTCATGCCCTCGTCACGTCCCGCTTGGACTACTATAATGCTCTCTACATGGTGCTCCCCTTGAGGAGCACCCGGAGGCTCCAACTGGTCCAGAATGCGGCTGTGCGGATGGTTATGGGGGTGACTTGGCCCTCCCATGTAACACCTCTCCTGCGTGAGCTGCACTGGCTCCCAGTAGTCTTCCGGGTGCGCTTCAAGGTATTGGTTATCACCTTTAGAGCGCTCCATGGCTTAGGACCCAGGTAGCCTCCCACCGACCAGTACGCTCCCACAGAGAGGGGCTTCTCAGGGTGCTGTCGGCCAAACAATGCTGGCTGGTGGCCCCCAGGGGGAGAGCCTTCTCTGTGGGGGCACCTACCCTCTGGAACAAGCTGCCCACAGAGATACGGCGGATTCCGGATCTCCGCACTTTCCGTTGTGCCCTAAAGACGTTTCTGTTTCATCAAGCCGGGCTGACCGGCCCAAATTTTTTAAATTGTTTTAATTTTAAATTATTAAATTATGGGTTTTAATATAGGGGTGTTTTAACTGTGGGCCAAATTAATTTAATTGGATTTTAATATTGTTTTAAATTTTGTATTTTTTGTATTTTATCTGCTGGCTGTTCATCGCCCCGAGTCCTTCAGGAGAAGGACGGTATACAAATATCATAAATATAAACATAAACATAAACATGTACTTCAAAACTATGGAAGTAGGACAGCGTGGAGGATATGTTTAGGCTGAGGTTAAGTGACTCAGTAACTCACTAACAGGAATCAAATTATTTTAGTAGGAGGAATAATTTTGTAATTTAAGTTCTGTAGCATGATGCATAACCCATCTTTTAATGAGATCCATACATGAGAACACACATCAATGCTTTGGAAATGTGCAGAATGTTGATCTGAGCTATGGTTCCTAATAGGTTTTAATTTTATCATCTCATACAGCAGTAGAGAAGCCTCCAATTGAGATCTGCTGAGTTGATGGGGGGCGGGGGGGGGGGGGGGGTTAAGGAAGGGACTTCCACTTGCCTCTGCTGGAGCAGACAACTTGAAATAGAGTGTGGGGTGGGTTGGGGGATGTAGACAGGAAGCTCTTTGGCTACTGAGCTGGACACAAGCAGTTTTTCTCCCCTCCTCGTCCTCTGGAGGGAAGGGACTTGTGGAGCAAGTGGCCCTGATTCCCCCCTCCCCTTCCTGAGATCAACAGCAACATTTCTGGGACATCTACAGAAGCCCTAACAAACCGGATGGGAAACTTACTAACAAATGGAAACAGGAAACATCTGAGGATTATTTGCTTTTTTCCCAACTCCTCAAGCCACTTGGTGGGAATAATGGGGCACTTTTGGAACTTTGTACATTAATGTTGCACGCACAGAATTGCACACTACGACACCAAGGTAGAAAGATTTACCATTTATTTCAAAATAACTAGAGTTTTGTGGTTTAGCATGTCTGGAGGTAGCTGCAAAAATTCCTCTGTTTTTCTCCAAATTATTTACAGTCTCAGTCTCAATTTATACTAGACATTTTTCCAGTAAAAGCCCTTGATATTAAAAGTGAATTTGTTTCCCAATGGATTTTTGTCTTCAGCTTGCTCAGACATGATCCAAAAAGAGAGTTATAAAGAGTAGTATTAAAATAAAGTTGGCATCTTAATATCAGAAGAAAAATACAAGAGTTTGAATTGATTGTCAACAAAGCACATTTCCAGGTCATTTCTTCCTTGTTTTTAAAAGCTATGGACAGATAAAGAAAAATGCAGCTCATTCAGATTAACTACAAACCTCCTGAGAATACATCTGTTGAAAATCTGCTGAAAAACAAGTACATCTCAGAGCAAATATATTCCTATTAGCTATCAATAGATACCACATGCTTTACAACATACACTGCTCAAAAAAATAAAGGGAACACGAGCAGAAGACATTTGAGATCTGAATGAATGAAATAGCCTTATTAAATACTTTGTTTGTTACATACAGTAGTTTTGTGTTCCCTTTAGTTGTTTGAGCAGCGTATAAACTACTGTATGTAAAGAACAAAGTATTTAATAAGGCTATTTCATTCATTCAGATCTCAGATGTCTTCTGCTTGTGTTCCCTTTATTTTTTTGAGCAGTATATATTGACACATATTTTCAGATTATGACATCAAGGAGTTAAATTAACTCCTTGTCTCTCTAGGCAGGAGACAAACTCTAAAGTTACCCAAACAATTTGGACAAATTACTTCATGATCTGATTCATGAAGAACTGCTGGAACAAAAAATAGCACTATCTGGTTTTCAAGATCTGTCCAAACTACTTGCTACTATCAGAAACTATCTATCAAGTAGTTCCAATCTTTTAGCTTATTTCCTGTCTTCCTTTGTGGCTTCCGTTAATAGAATTCTGTAAAACTGAAACAAGCCCCCTTCCCTGTAGGAACAGAAGGTGCTGGATTGACTGCTCCCCCTGCCCCACCTGAGGTGGCGGGGCTGAACCAGGGGCTGTCAGCATGCGGACAAGGGGCTCCATGGGGGTCTTCTGCCAAGCAAAAAGCTGCCTCTTCTTGGCTCAGGCTGACCTCAGCAAGCTAGCAGAACGTTGCTTTTACCAACTCTCAGGGCAACGCAAAGACTTGATGCATCCGAGCAAGACATCGCGGCCACCAGTCAGCAGTCAATTGCCACCAAGACCAGCTGCCCTCCTTCCGTCAACAGGTCAACTGGACATGAGGATGTTCTGCCTCTGCACTTGAGGCATACGTGCAGACATGTTCACAAAGCCCAAATCAAAACCCTGCCTTTCCCTCCTCCTATGGGCTCTGCTCCCACTAGGCGGCACTTGGAATTTGCGGGTGGGAGGTGAAGGCAGTTCTTGGTGCTTCCAATGGAGGTCATTGGACCTAAAGCCCAAAGGATGTCATGGGGTCAAAGCAGACCCTACTTAAGGTTCCACTCATGAACCCACAAAGTCCAGATGCCAAAGATTTTTAGGAGCAATATTTTCTTTCAAGTGACTGCATTCTTCCGTTACAAGACTTATTTGTGCAGCTTCCAGGATTTGCGTTTATGTTGGAATTTTAATATCTTCAGTGCTGACTCTGAAAAAAACATTTGATGCTAACCAGTTTTGAACACTTTAACAAAATTGCAGAAGAGAACAATTGCATAGGGCTGCTAATACTATTATTTCCTCACTGAAGATTGTCCTAACAGAGGAAAGATTTGGTGGAGAGATAAAAATGCAGATTACAATAGGAATTTTTACACTCGGATGCTGCTTACAGGTAGCTACAATTCAAACCAGAAGGCAAGAAAACAGAAGTGCCTTTTCTGATGTGCTTCTCAGAGAGTCCTTTATAACCTGCCACAGGAGCAGGTATCACAATCCAGGAAAAGCAAAGCAGCCGTTCCAGCTCTGAACCCAATGGCGGACTTGGCTCCAGCAGGCCAGTTCAGCCCTGCTTCTCTGCACCTGAGGCTGCTTAGATCAGGACAAAAGTCTCTTTTCTAAAGTATGGCAAGATCAGGACATCAACGGTCTCCCCATCGATCTGATCCCTGGAAGTCAGAGCGAGGAAGTCGAGACGAGGAGCGGGGAACAGTTTTTCTGAGCAGAAATGGCTCCTGGTGTGGCAGAATGTCCTGCTTTTTCCATCTACCCAAGGTCTTGCTGCTCTCCTTCAGCCCATAAACATGTTTGCTGAACAAACGGAGTTTACTGCAATAGGGTTTTAAAGCTTATGGATGATGACACTTAATACAGATTCCTGCACTATTAATGTGCACTATAGAAACATGAAACTACACAAAAATGTTGCAAGAGTTGTGAAAACTCTTGATTCAAAAACATACATCCTTACCTCCTGCTTTGTATATTCCTTCCTCTGCTCTAGTAACAAAGTGACACCCTCCCTCCCCTCGGTTTGAAACAGCTTCCAAGGAGAAGACCTCAGGTTGGGAGCAGTCTAGGGTCAGCCAGTCACGCAGAGCTAGAAGTATCCCTGAATCTGTGAACTGGAAGGCCAGCTCCTTTTTGTTCACAAAAGTTTATTTCTGAAATAAATCTGAACATGGCGCATTTCAGAAAAAGGAGTCACAGTCACCTGATGCTCTGATTCCTGCAGCCGGTGGTGCCTTGATTCCGCGGAGCCTTGACTCTTGGCTATTAAGGCTGGCTGGCGTCCTCCTTGGCTTTGCCATCGCTGCGCTTGAAGGACTTCAACCCCAGGGGGGCATCGAAAAGGCTCTCCCCATCAGTGCTGAAGTCATCGTCCTCATAGTCAAAGTCACTCAGCAGCTTATTGGAAGTCTTCTGGCGTCTGCGGAAGGAAAGGTTCACCCGCTGAGAAATGGCCTGCAACCTTTTGGGTCACGGGTGGAGTTTGATCTAATTGGCAAAGCGGATCAAGCCATGGTGGGTGCAGCCAAAGAGAGCCGAATCTTTCACGGACCTGCAGAGCAGACTTGGTTTGGGGCAGGTGTATTTTCTCCTATAGAAGACGATCCTGGCAGCACAGCCCCATTGCTGGACATTTAAGTGCAAACTGCTCTGTGTGTTGGGAGAATCCAGGCTGAGCAACAGGAAGGCCAGCTGAGGGGCTCAGGGAGGCTGTCTGCCAATGCAACACGATCCTCTTTAGAAGAGGAAGACGAAGAAGGGAGTAGGGGCCCCTGCCCACACATGAGCTGGGGCACCAGGGAAACTGGCAGCTCTCAAGGCTGCCCAAGCCCCCTTTCCTACCTGAGATCCTGCCGGATGGTGGTCAGCTGTCCTTGCAGCTGGTCGTTGAGGTCCACTTGATCTTCCAGGTCCCTCTGAAGCTTCTTCTTGGTGTTCTCCAGCCTGTCTATTTCTTCCTCTGCTTCCTCCACCTGTCGCTTCATGGCCTTCAGGCGCAGGCTGAGCTGTGGAGCGAGGAGAGGGCCCTCCTGGAATCAGACGGAGGCTCCTAGGGAGCCCCTAAGAAGCGATGTGTCCCTTGGGGCCCTTCCCTACTTACCTGGTCTTTCTGGTCAGTCAAGGAGAGGTGCTCATCATCCACCTGCATCAGGAGCTCCTTCACAGTCCTCTCCAATCGGCGGTTGGTCAACTGGAGGTGAGCTCGGTCCCTAGGAAGGCCAGGAGAAGGGGAGGGGGGCACCAGGTGAAGACTCTGCTGGCTCCCCAGGTGCTTTCCTGCTCTCATTATCCTGGCCTCCCCCAAACTGTCGCCCGCTCTCTTCTGCCTGCCAGACACAGGGACCTCAGCAGTGGTTGGGGGATTGCAGCCAAACGGGCTGGGCCAGATGGGAAGGGAAGGGCGCTGCAGAGGGGGTGCTGCTCATGTTTCCACACTGTCTCGCTCGCACCAGTGCCTCCTCACCTAGGCTTTGGGGAAAGATGCTGCGGCTGAAGGAGAGGCTGATGGGTGCAGCTACAGGCCCTCCAAATGGCCTTTTCCACTTCAAACCTGTCTCCCTGCAGAGCACTGCTGGTTATTTTTCCAATTTAACTTAATTTTATTTAATTGGCCCATTCCTAAAACTCTGTATGGCTAATCAAGCTGTTTCCTGGGCAGGAGGACACAAGGAAATCCCAGGATCGGTCTTCCGTCTGTGGGCAAGATGGCAACTCCAAGAACCCCGGAAGCCCTCCAGAGTCAGGCTTGACCAACAGGACGCACAGAGCAAAGCGACAAGCCTGGGGGAGCAGAAGAGCCCTGGGGGGACTTTGGGAGGGGCCTCCTCGTACCTCTCCTCACTCTCCAGCTGCTCCTCCAGTGCCAGGAGGTGGGCTTCCATCTGGGCCAGGAGGCCTTCCTTGCTGGGCTTGGGAGAACCTTCCAGGTGGAGGATCCGGCCTCTTAGCTCCTTGTTCTGGAGGAGGAATTGCCCCGATCCATCAGCAGGGACACCTGGCAGCCAAGGAGGCCAGAAAACTGGCCAGCTCCAAGCAGGAGATTCAGGAAGGACCCCTGCCCCAAGTTATAACTAGTGCATGAGAAATGGACGGAGGGCAGAAGAGTTGATTTTCCAGTCCAACATGGAGCAGAAGCTGCTACCCAGAAGGGAGGAGAGGCAGCACCCAGGCCGGCTCCATTGGGCAGCAGATGCCCGAGCAGCGTCAGGACGTTGCAGGGATCGTTAAGCGCTGCCTGCTTGGCGGGTTGATGCCAAAAGATTCGTCTTCAGGAAAGCCAAAGGGAATCTGAAGGCTTGAAAGAGGAAGGGGAACTTGTGGGTGCAGGCAGCCCGCCTGGGCACAAACCTCAGGGAAACCCTCAACGTGCTGGACTCTGGGTAGCCAAAGGGGCTGGGGTGCAAGGCAAGGGACTCAGGAAAAGGCTGGCCGTGGACACAGAGGGCACTCGCCGAGGCTCAGGGGTGGGCATGGCGGTGGGGTTGCAGTCCCAGAGCAGAGCAAAGCCTCCTGACCTGCCTTTCCAGGGCAGTCTTGTCGCCCTCCAGTTCTTGCCTGGTTGTCCTTTCCTGAAGGAGTTCACTCCTCATTTGCTCAATCTGCAGAGGGAGAGGAAAGGGGAGGGAAGAGAGGGGAGAGGGGAAGACAGGAAAGGGGAGAAAAGAAAAAGGAGAGGAGGGGAGGGGAGGGGAGGGGAGGGGAGGGGAGAGGAGAGGAGAGGAGAGGAGAGGAGAGGAGAGGAGAGGAGAGGAGAGGAGAGGAGAGGAAGAAATAAAAACAGTCACAGTAAGCGAGCAGTCAGTCGGACCAGGGAAGAAACACGCCCACAAGCAGTCCATGCTAAGAACCCAGGTGGTAAGAATGCATGTGCAAAGGCAAGAGAGGCACTCTAAACCAGGCTGCACTTGTGGCAACACCTGCAGTTATATGAGATCCCGCTAGCCTTGTGCTCTGTTCCCTGCAGCAGCCCATCCAGGCTGCCAAGAAAAGTTGGGCTGGGCACGGAGGCCAGGCGGGCTGCACTCCTTGTTCCTGGTTGGTTAGCCGCTTAATCAACAGTGATAATGACAAGAGCTATTATTCCACTGTTATGAATGTTTAGTAGACCTGAAATAGTCTTCGGGAATCCCTGCATCCAAGCCCTAACCGAAGACAAGTCAGGCTTTGTCCCATGTGTAGGAAATGGGGAGTTCTGGAGCCTTGGAAAGAAACACGTATTTTGCCTAATTGAAGCAATCAGCTGAGGTTTACGTGTTTCCCGCCTCCAAAGGAGCCTCTGCCAGACCTTGCCAGGAAGAGACGGTCCCTGCTGGTCTCAAGCAGGCTGCCGTGGAAAGGGGTTGGATCACTGCAGGGGCTGGACCACCTCCAGGAATCCACCTGGGCTGGCAGCTGGGTGTGTGTGTATGCGCGAAGGACTTGATTATGGGGAGGGCCAAGCCTGCTTCCCAGAGCTGCTCCTGAGGCGGTTACTGGAGGCAGAGCAGGCCCAGCCAGGGCTTCCAGCTCCTTCCCCAATCTTGCGACCGCTGCCTGAACTAAGCAAAGGCCTACCTGCTCTCTGCCCCTGTCGATCCTCCCAGATAGGATATCGGAATTGCTCCGTTCTTCTTCGAGCTCCAACTCCAGCTGGGATATCTTGTCCTGAGGGGAAGAACATCGGCCCACTGCAAAATCTGTGGCACGCACAACACAAGAACCCCTTGAAATGTGACTCGGCCGAAGGGAAGAAGGTCGAGAAGAGGAGCAGCTGCTCAGCGGCCCAGAGAGAGCTCTCCAGGGAGACATTTTAGCCTGGCACCCATAAAGGCAGCTCAAAGCACCTGGGAAGAGGCTCTCTCCAGCAGGGAGCTGCAGAGTGAAACTCTCGCCACCTGAAGGACCCTTCTCTGGAGGGCTTCTCAGCGCCCCCATTTCTGGCTGGGTCTCACTAGAGTCCCCTGACCTAAAGGACTATGAGAAACCACACCTTGCACAGGTGAGCACATCGTGAGCACTTGGGCTCCTTTTTGTGTCAGTTGCAGGCAGAAAGGGGGAGGCCTCGGTTGGCTCAAAGTACACGGGGGGCGGTTTAGTGTGTTTTACTTCAAGGGTCTTGCAAGATAAGGACCTGCCTTGCAACCCCCAGCCACGCCAGCTGGGCATCCTGTGCAAAGTCCTGGCCCTCTGAAGTGGGATCCAGGGGCGGCCCAGAACAAACGGGGTGCTCACAGATCAAGAGATGCTGCATGAGGCAGGAGAAGAGGCCTCAGATGCCCTTCATGATTTTGCAGGTGGAGTGGATGGGTGTCTGTACATTAAGATACCTCAATTTGCCTCCCCAAATACTGTTCCTTTCTACCTCCAGTATCTTGGCCTGTCTTGCCCGATCTTCTTTCAAGTGGCTTTTAGTTTCCAGTTCATATTCCAAGTTCTTCACTGTGTCTTCCAGAAGCCGAGTCTTGGTGAGGGCTTCTTTTTGGGCTTTTTTGTGACCCTGTAATTCTTCCTCCATAAAACGTACCTGAAAGTCAAAGAAATGTGTCCCATAAACCTCTCACCTATATGCTCTGTAGACATCTGCTGTGGACAGATAGATTTAGAGGCAAGGAAATATTTCTGCGTTTTGCGAACCCAGATCCTACGTTTCTTCCATCTCAACTAGACTCAAGTCTGTATTTGTATTTTGTATTTATTAGATTTATATACCGCCCTTCTCCCGAAGGACTCAGGGTGGTAAGGGTCCACAGGTGTGATAGGAAGCCAACATTTAATTCTGGCTTGCTAGCCCTAATCTTCTTTAACCACAACCCATTTCCTGAAAGAGAAGCAAGCGATGAATGGAAACATCTCACGCTCACAGCGTGAAAGTCTTTGAGGGATTCTGCAATCATCTCCCATAGAAACACCAGGTAAACTGCCCCTTTTTCTGGGCGGATCTGTCCAGATTACATTCCAGATCAGCTCCAGAAAGTGTGCAGCAGCTTGCAGATTGTGCAGCATTTTCACCCAGTCTTTATGTGCCATGAGATGCAGTGCTGGTTAAAAAACGGGTCAACCCATCCACGGCAGTCCTGGGGATGAAGGGCTCTTAACCGGGATGGCAGCATGGCTACCTCTACAGGGCAACAGGGCAGGGCAACAGCTGGAAGACTGGGGGTCTTCTGTGGGCAGTTGGTGGCCATCCTGAGGACAGACTACTGGCCCAGGGGTCTCATCCAGCTGCTCAGCCCATTCCTCAGAGCGCAAGTTCGCTTGTGAGCACTGAACTTTAGGAGAGCATGTGCACTGTCTTTTTCCAGCCACAAGGGGGCAGCCATTTAACGCAAGGCTGCCAGGCTGGGTGTGGGTGGGGGGGTGGGGGAGCGGGGGAGAGAGTCAGGATAAAGGGGCTTGAACTTCCTTGGTCCCCCACCCAGCTGATGGCTAAAGGGAAGACAAAGCTTCCTAAGAAATGGCAACTTTATTTGCTTTGTATAATCTGCTTCCTGATGTTGCCTTTTTCAGCTGACATTTCTTAAGAGCTGTCTGTTTATTTTAATAGCCAGCCTATAACTCCTTCTGGCTTGTTCCATGCTTTTTTCAGCTTGCTTTGCTTGTCGATGTCACTGGGAGTAAAAGTCAGATTCCCTTCGGCCTGACTGTTCACAAGCATTGGCTGGGCTGACCTCCAGCAAGGACAGCTGGACCTTAGGCTTACAAGCCCTGGCATGGTTTTCACTGGTACCCTGAGCCAGGTATTGGGGCACCACAGACTTGGTCAAGGTGTCCCCTCCAGAGGACAAGTGGGGCGAGGAATGCTTGCTGATGTTGTAACAACACAACTGGGAGTCAGCCTCACTTGGGTATTGTTGGCTATGTGTCAAGAGAACACCTCTATTTTGGCCACAACTAGTTTCTGCTGGGCTGTTTTGTTTCAGTCATTTCTAGTTTGGGTGGAGTTTAATTGATCCTTTTGGTTACATGGTCCAATTGATGTTTCATTGCAGGAAGGAAGGAAGGAAGGTAGGTTTACGAACATTAGGAGGTCAGAGGTCAATACCTGCTCTTGCATTTTGAGGATTGTCTGGTAGGCCTTTTCTAGCTCCAGGGTTTTGTCCTTCAGCCGCTGCTGTGAATCTACCAACTGCTGCTGGTTCTTCTCTTTGTACTCATCAAGTTGCTTCTGGAGTTGCTGGGTTGATTCCTGGGACACTTTAATGATTTCCGCCATCTACCCAAGAGAAAACCAGTGATATGGGGAAGGATAAAAGATTTCCAAGGAGGAAAGGGTAGCTGCAACATCTCAACTGCCCAGGTGGACTCCCATGCCTACAGGGCAAAGGCAGGTGCCCCAAACCCCACTGGAAGACCCTTCCTCCTAGATTGTGCTGAACTGGCAAGCAAGACTTGCCAATGTCCTAATTAAAAGTAACAACCGTATTTGGATCATGGCTTTGCTCTTCCCACTCAGGTTCCAAAGACGTGGATCCAATGGAAAGCTTTTTTGCTGCTGAAATGCTCCGCCATTTGTGTTTTGCAAATATCTGTAAGGGATTTCCAGGCATTCCTGCAGTGACTCTGGTTGACCATTATTTGAAAACCAGAAGATGCTGCCTCCTTTGAGATCTGGTTGCCGAGTGTTTTTGAGTGCCGAGAAAGTCTCCTCGGAAACTTTGGTGGCTGGCAGTTGAAATGTAGGGATTCTAATCTCACCCAGAAGCCCCAAACTCTCTGGCCAGATGGGCATTTTACCTCCTTCTGCAGTGTTTCAACAGTTCTATCCAGCTGCCGCAGCTCGTTCTCCAATTCGCGCTTCGTCTTCTGTAGCTGATCTTTTTGGGAAGCTTCGTCTTCCAGGCAGCCCATCAGCTGCTGCTGCTCCTGCCTCAGCCGACTGATGTTCCTCTGTGGAGGGAGGGAGACGTGGCTGCGTGAGCTGAGGCCACCGAGGCCCCAGAGAACTCAAGTGGCCAGGGGCAGAACACCACCAGAGGCTCACTAACTTCAGGTTCCAGGCTAGGTCCGGGGGTTTTCCCCACTTAACCAGGGCACTAATCTGTCCCCACTAGTGCCTTCAGCTAACCTTCAGCACAGGTGAGACCCCTTCAGGCATCTTGAGGCTGTGAAATGCTACCTGCAGAGACGGAGCAGTCTAGTGGTTAAGGCACTAGGCTAGAGACCATGAGTTCGAGTCCCACTTTTGGCATGAAATCCGACTGGGTGACTTTGAGTCAGTCCCTCCCCCTCAGCCCAACCCACCTCACAGGGGAAGGGTTGCTGCTGTGTGGAAAATAGGAGCACGAAGTGTGTTGGAGATGTTCACTGCCTTATTTGTAGAAATAACAACGGTGGGAAATAAATGAGTAAATGGGCCCAGGTGTTTCACATGCATCATAAAAAAATCAACACATCTTTAAAATGAAGAATGAGATCCAAATTCTGCAGCAGCCACCTGAAATTTGCTAGCAGGGGGAAGGCCAAGGCACTGGGAAGAGGGGGCCCAGGAAGCAGAACACACTTAGGTTGCCCACGGTGGCTCCAACTTCACAGGAACCTGGAGGCAAAGGCACAAGGAAGTGGGAAAAGGACAGGCAAGCCTCTTGGCCTCCACTGCACCCTGCAATTTGACAGCAATTAAGAGAACGAGGCGAATGCTCAAGACAAACAGACTCAGGAACAGGACCTTTGGAGAGACCCAGCAACAACCACTACCTCTCTGGCACTAAAAGCTCCCGAGGCGACCGTGTGCACAGCTGCTACTTGTTAAGACACTCTGCTCCGTGCAACACTACAAAGCTTTTCTGGGATGCCATGTTTTCACCCCCTTCTTTCTCACCTGGGCGTCCTTCAGCTGGGCTTCCAAAGACACCTTGGCCGAGGCCAGCTGGCAGGCTTCCTCCTTGGCGTGGGTCAAGGACTGCATCTCTCTCTGCCAGGATGAGAGATTGACTGATTCAAAAGATTCATTTGCCTGCACATCTTAAGCAAATCTGAGCAGCTCGCAATAACAATAAAACCAATATATTAAATAGTAACAAAACAATAAAAATGGTGCCACAATAAAACAAAAACCCTGATTTGGTTATGTTTGAACAAACCACAGCAGCTGTTACCTGCACCACCCCACCCCATCCCACCTTGGGAACCCTGGATTTCAAGGCTTTGAACCCTCTTGAAGCCCCAGCCATGGGCCAAGCCGCAGGCAGGCAGGCAGGCAGGCAGGCAGAAGGTTAAGACCTGTGAAGCTGCTCAGAGGAGGCCCTGCCACCCCCCATGCCCTCCTCCAAGGCCCACAGCAAATGCCAGGAAAAGACCCCCAAGGGCAGTCTTCTTGCGCCAGGGCCCTGGACGATCCCTTTCAGGAACAGACACTGGTGGAATTGGGATCCTTGGCAGCTACCTGACGTCTCTCTGAGATGGCAGCTCTGCCTTCTGCTGATGACGCCTCCCATCAAGTGAAGGGACTTTTTTACTTCTTCCTATAGTTTTCAAGTGAACCTCAATAGTAGCTTGGCTAATAGTGATGCAATGAAGAAAAGGACAGCCAAGCCGAAGGGTTTGCCCTCCTCTTCCTCCGTCTTCCCCAGCTCCTCTGCTCGCTTCAGACTCACCATGCACCTTCTCAGCCTTTCCTCAGCTTCCTCCTGGCCTCCCCTCAAGTTCTCAAGCTCCAGCTGCAGTTCTTGCTGCTGCTTCTCCTGCTGCCCCAGGGCCTTCCTCAGCTGCCCGTTTTGCTCGGCCATCCCAGCCACTCGGCCTTCTTGGCTCCTTTGCTCCTTCTCAGCTTCAGCCTTCGCACTGGACAGGGAGCCAATTTTCTAGGAAGACAACAACTTGACCCTCACCGGAGATATAAGGTGGTTGGGGTGGGTGGGGGGCTCCATTTCACTTCTTCCTCGCCCTGGAATGCCAGCAAGGCTGGGGAGGGAACAGTCAAGGGAGCCTGGTCTGTATCACCGTCTGGTGTTTTGGCACCCAGCACAGGCAGGCAGCCTCACATGACAGGCAGCCAGTCTATGCCTGTCCGAGGAGCTTGAAGGACCTTCTCTGACTGCAAAGAAAGAGGACTCTTGCCTTGAAGAGGATGGCCGCCTAAATGCTTGTTTGGGGTCTGGAGGAGGGGGAGGAGAGGCAGAGAGCATGTCAGTCATTGTAAGGCTCTGGGGACCGCTCCTTCTACCAGCTGCCTGCTTCCAGTTGTCCACAAGCCTTAAGAGAAGGTCTGGGAAGGGACTTTAGCTGCTCGGTGGAGGGTCTTCTTGACCACTCCCAGCCACTGGGCAGTGGCTTGAGCCAGGCAAAATTAAAAGCAGAGTTTCCACTGCTCTTGTTGCCTCTGTCGTGACTTTCCTGAGCCATCTTCAGCAAAAAGGCAGAAATCAGCCGGGTGGGGCGTTCCCTAACAGGTAATGAGAACAAATAGCAAGGATGTTTCTCCCGGGGGAGGTGCAGACATGAGCTGGCAGGTCAAGGTCTGGTCCAGCTTTCTAGGTTGGAACTGCTAACAGCCAGAATGGACCCGAGGATAAATGCACCAGACATCTTGTGTGGAGTTGAGCCGAGGATGAAGATTTAAATCTGGTCTGCAGGTACAAGTACAGTGCAATAAAGCTAAACAGGAGCAACACTTTTTCTGGCTAGCAATAAAGTGCTCACTGAAAATGAGAGAATGTAGTCCTAGAATTCATTAGCACTTTTCACATGTGGTGAAGGGCTGCAGTTCTCAATGCTAAAGTAGAGCAGGGCACGGTTTCCCCAACCCCAGGAAGCAGCCCTGGCCAGAAGGCACCCAGGCGCCTGGTTCAGGATGTCCTGAGCACATTGAAAGGCAGAGCGGGAAACCCACAAGATTTATGGGTTTGTTTGCATTAAACTTGCTGACGGCAATGCAACTCACTGGGACTCTTCCAAGGGTTAAACTGTGATTAGTCTTGTCAACACACAGCCCTGCATCAGAGCCACAGAACTGGCTGGGTGAGATTCCTACAAACCAAGGCCAGGATCACCTGTTCACAGAGCCAGATACGCTCAGAGACTATCAGGAACCCAGAAAACGCAAACAAGGCGCTTCAAGAGCCAGTCCGACTGGCCTTGAATTTCAGTTGTGCCTCAGAATAATTCCTTGCAAGGTTGTGTAATGAGGAGGAACGGCCCTCTCAGCCTCGGGGGTGGGTGGGGGGAGGAGGGGTATGACACCTAGCGCTCTTTCATGACGTCCACTGCTGCTTCTGCTGTTCTAGAGTTGCGGACATCTCCAATGCCAGGGAACAGGAGGTCTGGCTGAATCCTGAGAGGCTGAAATTTGGGGAAGCTTAGGAGTGAATACCCCGTCCAAAGCCATTCACAAGGTCAAGGAGGGTGTTGGGCAAATCCCTGCTGCCCATTAGCAGGAAAGAGATAGTGACATTGCCCGGGTTCAAGGCCTCAGCCTTATCTTGATGGAGCTGACAGGGCTTGCTACTGAATAGATCTCCAACTGGGCTATAGAGCACTGAACACCAGAACAACTGGACACAAGAACAGTTTTTTCCCGAATGCCATCACTCTGCTAAACGAATAATTCCCTCGACAGTGTCAAACTATTCACTAAGTCTGCATTACTATTAATCTTCTCATCGTTCCCATCACCCATCTCCTCCCACTGATGACTGTATGACTAACTTTGTTACTGGTATCCTTACGACTGTTTCCTAATATGATCTGATTGCTTAATTTTTCCCTATGTCTATCATTAAGTGTTGTACCTTATGATTCTTGACGAATGGATCTTTTCTTTTATGTACACCGAGAACGTATGCACCAAGACAAATTCCTTGTGTGTCCAATCACACTTGGCCAATAAAGAATTCTATTCTATTCTGTTCTGTTCTGTTCTGTTCTGTTCTGTTCTGTTCTATTCTATTCTATTCTATTCTATTCTATTCTATTCTATTCTAAAGAGACTCCAGTGAGGGACCAGGTCATGGCATCCCCCCCACCCCCCTTTCAAACTTCAAATGCTGGAAAAATGTAGAGAAAATTTTTCCAAGCATTTTGCTGGTCTTAGAGGTATCTCCTATATCGCTTATTCCTGAAAGTTTTTTTTTTTAACCTGCTTGCATGTTTATACCCTGATGTCTGTTTCTGTATTGTTATTTCCTTTGGCATTCTAGATTAGGACACGGCTCTGGTGCTTTTCACAGAAAAACTAGTTGTGAACTAGTTAAATAAAGGATGGAAGAAAGAGCACCACGGAGAGAGGAGAGACAGTGGGCAGCCGCACTGTGGGCACTGCTCAGAAGTCAGGCTGTTCCTGCTCCCCTTCAGTGTCCGGGCAGAAAAGAGGCAAGGGAGATCTGGCAAGGCTCATGGTCAGTCCCTCAGGGAAAAAGCCTCCTCCTCCTCCTCTTGTCCTGGCTCTCAGGTGGGCCAGGAGTAGAGCTGAGCTGCTTCAACTCCTCCTTCCCCATGAGGCAAATCCACCTCCTGCTTCACATGGTTAATGAGTTACGGCTAATCATCATTTGCAGCGGCCACCACCTTTTAATTTTCTCCCTGAAAAGTGCCATTCAGGCATGGGCAGGTTGGCCAGCCTCTCCCTTAAGAGAGTTCAATGTCTATCCCCGCTTCCTACTCAAGTGAGGACCACAAAAAGATTTAGTGCCAGGAGAGAGAAATCGAGCTTTGGGTGCTGGCCAGAAGAGCAGAGTTGTCCAAGTATCTGACACCCAACCAAGTGACCGGTGGTCCTGGAAAACAGCAGCACCCCAAAACAGAGTTGCAAGAGGGGAGAGGGCAAACCAGCCTCTCACAGCCCTTCCGGGCAACCAAGGTCAGCTATCAGGCATATATTAACTGCCATTCCCAGCAGGGGCCAGGTGAATTTCTCTGCCCCAGGGCCTTGACCGGCCTCTGACCTTGACCCAGCCTCTGGTTACACATTTCCTCTTCTGCTGCAGAATGGGAAAGCCATCCCAGGCAGCGCAGAACCAGAGCAACATGCAACAGACCTGTTGTGGGTGGGGGGCACAGGTCAAGTCCATCAGAAACCGGGCACCATGTCATTTTCCTGCCCGGTCCCCTGCCACCCAACCCTTGCCAAGCGGTCTGCAAGCAGCCCCCAGATGAGGCGAGGCGAGGAGGCTCTGCCTGGTGGGCCGGCCTGACTCCCTTCACTGCTGTCTTGGGCCACCCGTGGCATCTCTCATGCCGGGTGAGGGAGAAGGTTCAGGCGGAGGGCAAGGGCTGGGGGGGCCAGGGGGGCAGCAGGGCCGAGCTGCACTTCTGCTCAGAGAAGCCGCGGACTCTGCTGGGTGCCTCACTGACCTCTGTGGCTTTGGCCAAACTGTCTCTCAGGCTCTGGAGCTCCCGGACATGCTGCTCCTTGAGGTGGCCCATCTCTTGGTCCTGGCTGGCCATCTCTTCCTTCAAGACGCCCTTCAGGGCCGCCAGCTCCCGCTCGCGTTTCTTCAGGGTCTTTTCTTGCTGGTCTTTGAGCACCAGCAGCTCCTGCAGGCCCTGCTTCATTTGCATCAATTCCTAAACTCAGGAATGGAGAAGGAGAAGGAGAAGGAGAAAGGGGGAGAAGGCTGTGGCCAGGCTCCAAACTCCTGGCCTCCTGCCTGCCACATTTTTCTGCTCCAGCTCAGGGCCCTTTCAGGCAGGAAAAATGTCTCACCTCTACGAGTTGCTCCTTCTCGCTGTCCTCCATGTGCTTTGTACTGTCTAGTTCATCGTGCATCTCGGAAAGCTGATCCTGCAAGTCCCGGATCTCCCTCTGGTGCTGCTCCCGTTCAATTTTCACTTGGAAAAGCCTCAAAGGGAGGAAGAAAACAGCATTTTTGAGATGCCTTCTTTGGTCTGCCAGCTGGAACCCATGTCAGTCACAAAAAGCCTTCAAAAGCTTCAGGAAAGCACAGTTTGGTGGCAAGAGTGACCAAAGGAATAAAAGATAAAAGATAAGTTGCAAGAGAAGTAAACGAATGGAAAGAAAGAATAAATAGTGCAAGGTAAAAGAAATGAGAGAAGAAAGAAAAAAATAAAATATAATAAAGAAAGAAAAATATATAACAAAATAACTTTCATCACAAGTATAAACAAATTTAGTCACTCTCCAACCCCTCTAAGGTTACCAACATTTATCTCTTCATCCCATATCTGGTCCCATCTCCAGGGATAAATCGATAAATCATCATTTTTTCAGTCCTGGTGTCAGCAGAAAGTCTCATAATGGGCTATCAGAAATAGCAACATATTTTAATCTTGATCAAATAAACCAACTTTATATTCCTTCCTTTTACTTGTAATTGTTGTAATCTTTAGTTCAGGGATCCCCAACCCGTGGTCCGTGGACCGTTCCCAGTCCATGGCATGCCAGAAATCGGTCCGCACAAACAAGTGAAGCTCCATCCATGGGATGCACGCAGCATGTGAAACCAAGCCCCATCCAGTCTCAATGAAACCGATCCCTGGTGCCCAAAAGTTGGGGGGGGGGGCAGGCTTTCGTTAATTCAAATATTGTTCTAGGAAGAACAATATTCTTTTTTTTTCTCTTTAGTTTGTATTAGATTTTACTATTATAATCAACACCCATAGCAAAACTCACTCCTCCAGGTTTTCTCTAAGGTCTTTCTCGCTTTCCTTCAGCTGCCTTCTGAAAGTGTCTTTCTCCTCCATATTTTCTTTAAGCTGTTGCCGAAGCTTCTGAAGCTCTGTTTCCATTGTCTGCCTTTCAGCTTTGAAGTTCTGCTGATTCTAAAATAACAAATTTTGGAAAAGATAAAAAGAATCTATTAAATCTCTTTGCACTTTTCTAAAGACTCCAGTATTTCTGGGAAATGGCAAATGGGCCATGCATCTATGCAAGGGATCTCCCTTTGTTCCTTCTGAAGGAACAGGGTGAAGCAAAGACTAGATGGGGTTTGGGGGAAGGAGCACAGCCCATCTTCAGCATGGAATGGGCAGGGCTCCGATGACTGGCCCCAACTCAACCTGATCTAACAGCCAGCAGTCCTCCAGAGGCCTGGGAGCTGAATTGTGCTCCTATACCTGTGTGGCTGAGTCTCTCTTAAAAGACCCACATTCTCTGTTGACGTATGCAGGATTAGTGACCAATAGGAAGTTGAGGGGGGGGCTACCTTGAGTTCCAAGTCCAGCTTCCTCTGTAGCTCAGAAACCTCCTTTCTCAACCACTTCTTCTCTTCCACCAACATGTTGACTTCCACTGAAGCATCAGATGTCTGCAGTTAAACAAGATTCATTTGTTCTAAACATCTGAACTCCCCAAGAGGCAATGAAAAAAACTGCCTCATAAGACCTTGGGGGACTTTCCAAAAGAAAGCAGCAAAAGTTGTATGAGAGAAGCCATGAAACACATTTGTTGCTCGAGGGGAGGGGGAAGAGCCTACTGGCACCACTGCTTGCAAAAAACAATCCTGCCTCACACAATGGCAAAGACACCAGCAGCCTCTCTACCAAGCTGTGGGCAAGGACCGCCCTACTGGAACAGGCAGCCATGGGAGACAGAAGGCTCTTTGCTTTGTGTCATTCACCTGGGGACTCCCGGCTGCTCTGGACTTCAGCGTCTGGATTTTCTCAAATACCAAGTTGACTTTCCTCTTGGTAGTGTCCTCGTTTTCACTGGTACTAAAATGTGAGAAGAGACCCAAGTTTGTTCAAATGGTCAGAAAGCGAAAGACCCTGGATCCTCCAGTCATCTGCAGGATCTACCTGCTTGCAGAGGGGCATTGGCTGCAGGGAGTTCTTGTGTGAATTAATCCGAGTGGAACTTCACCTTGGGGAACCAAGTGATGCAGAGTCCAAGCAAGACAAAATATCATGCTACAAGCAAGGTGTTATGCAAGCCCACTTACCCTTCCTTGAGATAGTTGTAGAGAATCTGCTTGGCCGTCTCTTCATTGCTTTGTCGGGCAAGTTCTTGCTGGCCCTTGAGCAGGTCAGGTGTTACCTGAAACACAAAACTCAGGCTGGAAAGGATGCCTTAGAAGGAAAGATTCTCGTTTCCAATTTGGCTGACACACGTTGTGCTGCCTTTCAGCTGACCAATTGCTGCAAGCAGCTCTGAAGGGTGCAGACAGGCCTGGAAACCAACCCTTGGATGCGGGAGGCAACTCTGCACCCTTCAGACGAAAGCCTGAATGGGACCACTTCCCATTTTTTCAGTTATTTCTGAGAAAACAGGCCAGGTAGTAGAGAGAATGCTGTGTGTGAAGATAAGAGGACAAAAATGATCTACTTTTTAAATTTGCTACGTGGCTTTGGTGATGCTAATTACCCAGAGCTGTTCATTCCCAAATACCTGGCAACTGCCAGTCCCTCTGCCTTGAAGGCAGAAGTCTTTCTGCTGAGCTCTGCCCATTTCTCCACCCAGCAGCCTCCCTTCCCCAGGTATCGCTGGCCCTTCCATCCCTCTGGCTAAGACTGCCAAACGGCCTCTGACTGGCTCACACTGAAGCAGCCTCAGTTGCCACAAGTTACCTGAGCATTTTTTGAACCGGAAGCAAAAGTTTCCCTTGAGTGAGTCTGACTCATGGTGCTTTCTGGTAACAAGAGAGTGGAGGCCAGAGTTTTATGGTCTCTTTTTTTACGCTGCGTTGGAAGAGTGGAAGACTTAGAAGGCAAACTCTCGGGGTTCATTTGATCTTGTCTCAGATGCTGCAAGGAACTGAAGTGGCTGCTGGGAGACTCTCTCATTTCTGAGCTTGTCTGGAGCTTGCCTGCCGCCTGAGGGGCCAACTGCTCCCCAAGAGATGTTGCCTTCTTCTCTGGAGACAGTGGCTTCTGCAGGCAAACTTGAGAGGACTGGACCAAATGCTCAGATGATCTCCCCAAGCTTTTGGTGAACTCACCGATGCAATCAGAGTACAGTCCATGAGACAGGGCGCTGTCTACGCTCTTGGATCGCTTTTGATTCTCTGGAAGAGTTCGAGTCCTAAACCCTAATCTTCCCCTCCTTTGGGGACAAACCTTCCTGTCAAACTTTTCAATCAGCTCCTCAACTGCAGGAATGGAGCCAGTATCAATATCACGGCCGGTTCCAGGCAAGAATGGGATATACCGCCGGTTTTCATGCCGGTTGACGTGGTCGGCATAGATGGCATATTCTTGGTCATCTAGGAAAAACCTGGACACAGAGGCAGCAGACGTTGGAGTAGTGGATGAAGATGAAGATTTCTGGGAACCATTCAAGGCTGCTCCTGCCGAGTCTGGCTGGCGGAAAGGGAGGAGGTCTGGTCTGCACCTCCTAGGACCGGGGCAGGTAGAGGAACTCCCAGCAGGTGAAGATCCAGCCCCAGAAGTGAGCCACTCAAGCCTTCCACCAGGACGGTCAGCAACACTGGGGCTTTCCAGCTGCTGCTGCTTGTTCTGGTCAGGCTTAGTCAAGTCCACCATTTTCAGTTTTGATTTACTCAGTTCTACAAATTGGGAAGTTGAGCCACCTAACGCTACCTTCAAAGACGAGTTCCAAGGCTTGGAATCCAATTTTTCTTCATCCTCAAGAGATTGGGATTTGCTCAGCAGGCAAGGCTGAAGGTCCTTCAGAGTCAAGATACTGTTTGCAGGATTATAGGGTTGAAGCAGCTCTGGATATTTCTGAAAGTTCAGCAAATTAGAGACCTGGGAAATCTCTGCTTTAAAAGGTGAGGCTGTTTCCTTTCCCTCTGCCCTGCTGGCTTGGTTCAGGCTTTTAATCCAACTGGGTGGTGCATTATCCCAAAGCCCGCCAAAGGACCTTCCTTCGTGGCTTTTCTTGACGAGTTCAATGGCAGGAAGAGTGGCATCTGGCGCTGGCTGATCAGCTGCAATCTGTTGGCTGTTTTCAGGCCCCAAGAGATTTGCTGACAAGCATCCCTCATTGTTGTTGAGCACGAGATACGGATGGCCATCGATCCCTTGGACCCGGATGGTGACTCCGTAAGACCCGGCCTTGGCATTCGGTGGATTCTTTGGGCTCTCCTGTCTTGCCAACTTGGGGGGAGTCACATGGTCCCGTTGCCGGAAACCATTGGGAGAGGACTTCATAATTCACAAATCAAAGCTATGAAAAAAGCAGAGAGGAAGAAGTGAGGCCGTGACCTTGCCCAGGGAGAAGCCTTCTTAGCTGTCCGAAGGCGCCCTGACGAATGGCCGTGTGATGCAGGTGGAGCTCAGTGGCACCCCAGCTTCGTCAGGCCCTCTCTTTCTATAGGCCCTGGCAGCAGCACCCTCCCTTCCTCCTGCCCTCTGCATAGCCAGGGGGTTCCCTGCTTGCCAACTCCCGCTTTGATCCTCCAGCTACAGGAAGCACAGGAAGAGGAGAGCCGGCCGGCAGCAGCCGCCCCGCTCTGGAATGCTCTCCTACAGGGTGCCCGGCTGGTACAGCAGCCGCCGCCTAAATGCTGTTTGTGTCACCCGGGCGCCAGGCAAAGCCCAGGATGTGCTGTGCTTCCTACTCTCTTCAGTTCCAGGCCTGATTTTCATGGTGTTTTGCATCAGTTACTCCACCACCTTTCATTAATATTTCAGTTCATCTCTTGGCAATAAATACTTTGCTTTGGATTGTCTCCTGTCAGAAGGAGCTGCAACCCTCTGGAAGCCCCCATTTTGATGAATATCGTTGGTGCCTAAATGCAGACAAACATTAATCTGGCCTTCTTTCTGATGCCTCAGCTTCTGGCTCAGAGTCAGGAAACTTCCAGTTGGCACCTGGTGCTTTCCCAAATGCAACGGATGTCCTAATGCTGACATTTTGCATCTCTAACATACCTTTTCTGGAGAACTCATCTGTGATGTCAGGCTGGGCTTGGGGGAGAGATTACGAATCATGCACAGGCCTGCCGGTCTTGCAGAAAATGGGCATTAGATCCAGGCTATGTCCCAGCTCTAAAAGGCCATTCCCTCCCAGGCCTTAAGCAGCCAAAAGAACTGGGCCACCTGCTGCCTGCCCACCTCCCTGCCCCTTCATCAGCTGCTGCCTCCTTGCTAAACCCAGATCAGGAATTCTGCTTTTCTGCTGGGCCTCAATTCCCAATGCCTCAATTCTGTTCCACGCCCGAGTTTCCCAACCCCAAAGCCTGGTCCACCTTCTTGGCTGACCTTTGGCTGGCTGCTTCCAAGGCTAGCCATGGGCAAGGCTGCCCCTCTGACCCTGCTGTTTGACGTGCAGCCCAGCCCCACTCCCCATATCAGGGTTTGCCATTGGGAATCCTCTTCTGCCTGTGAGAAGGCTGAGCTCCAGATCACCTTGGACCCCCAGTTTCAGCTGGATGAGGGGAAAGGAGACCCAGGTGGGCCATTGGCAGGAAATGAAGTCTGCTGGCTTGTCTCAGCTCTGCGCTTCCTCCCGGACCTTCAAGCCATTTTCAGATGAATTCTACTTGTTTATTCCACATATTCACAACTCACTTCAGCAGTCCAGCTTCCAAGAATTATCAGAAAAGATAGCCAGGAAACAAGGCCTACATCTAATCACACCAGGCCAGACCTCACATCCTCTGGAATCCACAGAAACCTCTAAAGATGATCAGAACATATTTTGAAGCTGGGGTATAAGAAACAGTCTGTACTGGTGACTGAAGTAGACCAAGTCTAGCAAAGAGACAGGTAATTAGGGATAACCAGCTAAATGCAGGTTGAACAGATTCTACCAATAATATCAGATGATTTGCCCCCTCTTAACATGTTATCGTTTTTTCATTGATTTTGTGGGCTTAACGCTGTTTTGATTCTATGCTGTAATTGGCGCAGAGACATGTCCTTAAAACGATAACAGTTCTAAGAAAACAACATCAGCATATAAACCCAAATCCTTAAATCCATCTCCTAGCTAGGATACCTGGATCGTTCCAGGCGCAGCCTGTGAGACTCCACCACCCTTCAAGCTCTTGGCACAAGCCGCGTTTTCTCTTCCTTCAGCAACCAGGGTGCCCATCTTGCTTCTGCTGGGTGGGAAGCTTCCCCGGACGGGTTATGAATCACGCAGGCCAGTTTCACTGAATTCAGTGCCCAGCTGGAAGTTACTTATTATCACATTTTTACTGACCTGGAGCTCCTCCAATTAGGTACCCCCAGCCAGGACCCTTTATGGTATCCCTAAAAAGAGGAAAGATGCAGATTCCAGAGACCCTCCCCCCTTTCCCTCTGCACAGCTGTTGCCCTCCTAAAGAAAGCTGGGACTGGAAGAGACGTTTCACAAAAGACACACTCCAGTTCTGAGAGTGTTTTCAAGCTCAGTGATACTTGATCCAAGTATGCTGCTTTGAACCCTTTTCCCTAGAGGCTCAAGGCTGCTTTAAAGGCTCTTCAGATGCCCGTTTGGAGCCAAAACTCAGAGCAGGATCCTCCCCCGGCCTCTCCACTGCTTTTTCTCTGGGGCTGCCTTGCAAAACAGAGCTGGGTTGGCAGAGCCATCCAGCTGCTGCCACCCTCCTCGCCTTCCCTGGAGCAACTGGTGGTTCAGCTCTCTCGGCTCCGCAGTCACTCCTGGACCTTTGGGCACCCAGGAATGTGGCTGCAACCGAGGAAGGAAAAAAGCACCCAAACTCCGGAGCCCAGCTTGCCTGGTGGGGCAGCCTCCTGTGTTTGAGCCGAGCCCCGGGCACACCAATAAGAGGCCGGAGGGAACGCTCGTTCGGTGCCAGCAAGTCCCGAGGGCAAATCCCTCAGCGTTGTCATTGGGCTGCTTCACTGGGTTTGCTGCACGGCCGCCCAATGGCATAGCTGGGGCCAAAGTGTCTCCCCGGCTGAACCAGCATGGCCAGCGGCCAGGCTGCCTGCTCCGATTGTCTCCAAGCTCGGACAATCGGCCTCTTTATCCTCCCTTGTGGGAAGGGACGCTCCGGACAGGCGGGCCTTGGCAGGCATCCAGGGAAAGGGGGAGACTGGAAGGGAAACCAAAACCAATTCCCCTTCTTGCACTTGTTACTCCCCCCCTCTAGAAAGTCCCCCCTCCATCAGCAGGGGTAAAGCTGAGAAGGCAGAGGACACCCATGGGTGCTAAAGGGAGGGCTGGTTCGGTGAAGAGAGGAGTCAGGAAAGAGGATCCCTTCCTTGCCTGAAATGGAACCCCTCAATGCACGGGGCAAAGGGGCGCCTTACTTGGGGGGAGGAGCTCCTTGTGGGTTGGCGGTTTAGTGCCAAGGCTGGGCTGGATTGGCTGGTGAGCCTCCCAGGCTGGACTCCAGGGGAGCTTTCATATCGTGGTGGTAGGGGACTGTCCTGGGGCCGGACCCCGGGTAGCCAGAGCCAAGGCCTGCTGGGCACAAACCTGCCTGGTTTGCTGTGGCCCTCACAAACCTCCCTGCAGAAACTGGATCTGTCCTCCACCAAAGAGGGGTCGGTCACAGGCTGACCTTGTGTTGCTTACGCAAAAGCAGCAGGCCAGACTGACTGCCCAGACAGGACCAGTTCTCCAGACCCCTTCTGGAGCAGACTGTTCCAGCCCATCCCTGAAGGAGTCCAGAAGGCAGAGGAGCTGGAAATGCATTCTGTTCTCCTACAATCCATCCAAGATGTCCTTAAAACAGATCCTCATCTAAAGCGGCAGTGAGGGTCTCTGAAATACACCATGAAGGGGGACCTGGACTCATTTGTGGAGCGGCAGGAGCTCCCAGAAGATGTTCGGTTTGCAGAGCTTCCTGGGCTTTGGGCCCAGAATGGAAGCTCCATCTCAGTCCCAAGGACTAACAAGCTTCACACACAATTCACAGCTGCATCTTCTCTTCGTTTCCCCTTTAAGTCGGCTGCAATTATGCTGAAGAACCTCCAAAACAAAACAGTTCACAATCCAGGTTGAACTCCTCCCTAAACCAAGAAAAGCAAGCCAGCGGCCTTTGAGAGAAGCCCCGACAAAGCTCTGGCTGAGCTACAACTGGGAGCCGAGAGAAATTTCCACAGGCAGCTTCGGTTTTCAAAGACAATGGCTGGTTTGTGTCCAAGCCTGCGAGCTGAGCCAAGCCAAGCCTTCCTCCGCAGGGGCTCCCTTCAGCTCAGGCTCTATTTTGCAAACGGCCTGAAATGGATCCCATGCAGAGCTCTCCTCTGGCAGGGGAAATGCGATTTGGCCTTCAAAGGGCTTCGGGTGCACTTCTCCTTTGCAGCTCCTCCTGCGCAGCCTCTAGCCTATCCCCAACTGTTGTTACTCTTTCCTCTGCCATTTTTCTCTCCTCTCCTCTTACTACCTTTGCAAAGCTCCTGGCATTACAAAAGCCCTTCCCTCCTTCCTCAATTATCAACCCATTCTCTTGGAAGAATAAGAAAGACCCTGTCTTCTCCTTAGCCCCTTGCTCTGGCAGTGCCCGGCTAGCCCACCCAGTTCCCTCACTTTGTGCAATCGCAAACCAGTCACTTCTCCTGCCAGTCTTCAGATGAAGTTGACCCAGAGCAAGTTCTCTTCTTTTCCTTCGCTTTCTACATTTTCCCCAATTCCTCTCGGACTCCATCTCCTACCTATTCTGTCATTTCCTTCCATTGCTCTCTGAGCTGCGTTTAGGCCACGGCCCCAATTCCCCCCCCCCCCGTTTCCTTTCTTTCACTTAGTCAAAGACTCGGCTTTCAAATCCACATAGAACCAGCCACACACATTGTTTTATTGCTTTTTAGAGGTCGAGAGATACTGGCTCTAAGAAAATGTCTGTTTCCCCACATTTATTCCACTTTCCATTTTTGCTCTCATTCTGTTTTATACCTTCGGAGATCTCTACTTCTTGTCCTTTCTGAATTTTATTCATAGAAATGTATATCCACTGTAACTTTGGTTTCTGGATAGTCCCGCCACAGTTGTCCTTATAGCAGGATTTGCAGGAGAAATAGATTTGCCTGTAAATAGAGATCAGCCTGCAAGGAAATGAGTGGTGGACACTGGCTGTAGCCTTCACTTCACAAAGTCCACTGTGGGTGTTCCATAAATGATTACCTTTTTGGAATCTAACCTCATTTTCTGAGCAAATACTTTTCTCCAGAAGAGGTTTTGTCAGGGTCAAAATATCTAGTTCTCTTTTCAGACCTGATGACAACTCGGCTGGTTCCCTCAACCGACACCGATTATTGGTGCCATTTTGCAGGCCTCCCTGAGGTCCCTTTGGAAGCATTTAAAAAGGAGGACCCTGCCTCTGTACCCTCCTGCCCACCTGGTGGGAATGTGAGGGGCATGCCAGATTTATGTGAAGAGGTGTGCCTGAAAGTGAGAACTTTGGAAATTCAGTGCTTTCTTTATGATTCCCTTCTCTCATTGCAAACAAATGCTTTTTTTTGACACAAAAAGCTCCTCTCCTTAAAATCCCTTCTTTCCAACCTTTCTACCAGCAGCTCCAGTTTCTCTCCTCACTGTGCGCCTCCTTTGTATGACTCCTCCGCCTGCCAGGCCTTATCAGATGCTTCTACTTTTTGGTCAACTTGCACACTTGTTGCTCCTATGGATCCAAGCGTGGCCCATCCACACTCCTGGCATGTTGGGCCCCTCGGACTCTTCTCTGCACATGCACTTGGGTCATCTGGCATTTGGAGGAGGGCTCTACTGGGCAAGTCTCCACTTTCACGGGGGTCCCAGCATTTCCTTGAATTACCTTTGGCATCAATTTCACAAAAGTTGTGAGAAGTAAGTTCTGCAAGGAAAAGGTGAGACCAAGGGAACCCTAAGGCCTGCCTCCCCATGCAGCATCTCAGCCTCTTCCAGAAATCTCATCGTGGGCCTGGAGGTGTGCTGAAACCTAAGATGGATTGGCATCAGAGGCGGAAAAGTTCTGGGGTTTATAACAATGACTTAAAACCAAATTTAAACCGGTTGATTCTCCCTTCCTAGCACTGGCACAACAAACTATCCCAAACAAGCCTTTCCCCCCCAGAAATTTCCTGCAGCATGCAAACTGAGCCAGCTTCACCCTCTCTTATATTTTTGCCACCCAAGATTTTGGGCCTCTAGTGTAGCAGTCCCATCAAAACCAACACCTCCGTGGGCCAATGCCAATGCGTCACATCCAGAGCCAAGTGCTGCCGGCCCCTGGTGTCCAGCCACCGGCCCCAGAGGCTCCTTCATCACCACCAAAAAGGGAGGAGCTGGAGAAAAATGGGGAGCGCAGACCCAGGGCACAGCTGACCCTGCACTCCAAAACCCATGGATTACAGGGAGAAGGGAAGCAGCTGGATCTGATCAGAAAAGGAGCCAGGGGGCTTCTCCTAGCTAAAGGAGAAACCCGCTGTCCCCAACCTCCCAGTCCTGCCTTTTCTTCTCCTTTGGCGACCTCTTTGCCAGCGCTGCGTCCAGGCTCCTACTTGGGTGTTGCCCTAAAATATGCCTAACGCTTCGCTTGGTCATTGCAGCCTGGAAGCCGTTTCTCGGAATGAATGAGGCCCTTTCGGAAGGCAGGCGGACTTCTGCTTGGGCGCAGCCAGGCGGGGAGGGCCCAGCCCTCCTTGTAACCGGGGCCCCCACCGGAGACCCTCGGCTCCAAGCGCTCCTAGCGTCCCCTTACTGGACAACGTTCGAAGGCAAAACCCACGTCTTTTAAAAACGCCGCCCTACTACGAAGCCCCCCGGCCAAGAGAGCAGCACCAGCCCTGCGTGGGGAGGCGAATCTCCCGGCCGCAGCTCAGGACCGGCCGCCGTCCCTACCTGGTGCCGGGCAGAGCGGGAAAAGCCCCGCGCGGCTGACAGGCGGGCCCCCTTCTGGCCGGGTGTGGCGCGCTCGGCTAGGCAGCGAGCGCCTCCCCGCCGGGCCCTGCCCTCCTCTCGCCAGGGCCACGCCGGAGCCGATCTTGGCTTCCCGAGTCCCTGCAGCCCGACCCCGAAGAGGCCACCGGGAGAGGCCGTCCGTCCGCGGACAGGGAGGCGAGGCTCGGTCCTGTGGAGCGCAGCAGCGGAGGCTGCCCGCGGCCGCCCGTCCTCTCCGCCGCTGGGCCCGCCGGACGGACGACCGCCCGACCCTTGCGCAGCGCGTCCCCGCCCCGCCCCTCCGTCCGGCCCGCGCCGAGTCTTCCTCCGAGCGAGCCCCGCCGAGCGAGCGCCTTTGCCCGCCGCCCGGACCGCCCGCCTCTTCCAGCCGCCGAGGGAGGGACCTGCGGAGGGCAGCCCGCCGGGCGGGGCGAGGACAGCTGCACGCGCTCAGGACGGACAGCGGGCACCGGAGTCCGCACAGCCGGGAATCGGGACCGTCCGGGCAGAATTACCTCCGCCGGCTCCTCCGCCGCCCTCAGAGGGCCGCTCTCCCCCTGCCCGCCAAGCCCAAACGGGGCGGCCGGAGCCAGGAAGCGAGGCCGCCCCCGGGTCTGCCGCCGGCGAGGAGCGAAGGGGCCCCGGCCGGCTGCTCAGCCGCGGGGAGGCGTCTTGTGGGAACAGCGCTTCGGGGAGGGGATTCATCTCGATAGGTTTGCCCCGTTGGGAACAATGGCCTGAAGGGGCTCGCTTCCCGCCCCTCCCCCCGCCTTCCTCTGTCAAAGGCCGGATTGCGGCTCCAGGGCTCCGAAAGGCTCTTCCCGCTCAATTGTGGAAAAGAAATCTCGGGAAGCCCCCCCCCCAAAATAAATAAATAAATAAATAAATTCAGGGACTCCTCCCGCCCGGCCTCCCTTGGGCACCTGGGCGCTCTGGAGCTTAGGCAAGAGCGCCACCTGCTGGAGGAATACCTGAGCATCTCTTGAGAGAGAGATGCCCAGGTATTTCCGTGTGTGTGTGTGTGTGTGTATATATATGCGCGCGCGCGCGTTTGATGACAAGTCCCTCACTTTTCTTGGCAAGATTTCGGAAGTGGTTTGGCGTCCTCTCCTCCTCCCCCTCCTCCCAGAGCTGAGGGGCCAGCGTCACCCTCGAGTCTGCTGCCTTAACCACTAACCAAATGGGCTATTTCTCCATTTGAACTACAGGGTGCTACCTTCTGTTTCCTTTGTAAGGCTACTGAGGGCCAACACCTTTAGCTTCCATGCATCTTTCTCCATTTGAAATGTTCAAAACAGAAAACCTGAGCTGCTTTTGAAGGCTTCCAGCCCAAGAGGGGCGGTCGCTCTGTCACCGACTGGGAAATGCTTGCAACTCTCGGCTTGACTCGGGGATCCGCCTGCTCAAGCTGAGACACACGCCTGGGGCTGCTTCCAGGACCCCGTTGCCCTCTTTCCTAGGAGAGGCCCTACTCGGATCCTGCTCCTGGGATGACTGTGTCTTTTGGGGCAACCGTGGGTGGTTGCTGGCCTGCAGACACCACCCTAGGCAAGGCTCTATTTATTTAATTAATTTAACAGCTCAGAGACCCATTCACTGCCACAACCAGAATGGCAGATTCTGAAGATCCAGCAAATAATGGAACAGACCAGTGCACCCCATTGCAGCCTTCAAAGCAGCCCTCCCCAGCCTAATTTAGTTGTGGGGGGGGGCTCTTGGAAGAGCGGAAGCAGGAGGCAGAACAATGGTACCGAGCAAGGTTCTGGATTATGTCAATTTTGCAAAACTAGTTTTGTCTTTTTAAAACTTACCTAGCTAGAGCATAAGGATTGCCGAGAGGGGAGAGTAAATAAAGTTTTAGCTGCATGGCCCCCATGGTGTTAAAGGGTTGGACAGCACAATGAAGGCCCCACAGTAAGATAGAAAAGAATGCTCGGTTTCACTGAATGGCATCCTTCACACAACTTGGCTCAGAGACAATCTCCTTGTGGTCATTGCTCATTGACAGACAGTAAAGACAGACATCATGGCGGCCAGCTCCCTTGTATTCTAAGCCATCGTTTGGATTCTGGTGTTGCTAGGAAGAGAGCTCTAGAATTCTATTTCAAGCTAATTCTGAATCAGATCTTTTTCTATTGTGACTCCAAATTGGGATTCTCAGCAGTTTGCTTATGTGATCAACAACCCAAGATGACAGCCAATCTTACCTTCTGTGGGAGTAACTATTAAGTCCCCCAAGGGTGACCCATCACAAGTGGGGCACAAAGTGGGAGCTCGCTCTGAATGGGGCTTCCTGAAACTCTGGGTGCTCCAGGGAGATTCCATGAGGCAGCCCAAGGCCCCTGGCTGGTGGTCTGCGTATTGCAAATCTCAAGCATCCTTAGGCAGCTCGTAAGATCCCCAACATCCATAATGTGCAAGAGTTGAGAGGCTGGTCCAGACAACATATCTTTGCCTTCATCCCTTTCAGGTCAGCAAGGATTCAGGATGGACCTGCAAAGGTGTTCATGAATTGCTTCCAGAGCTTTGGATTTATAAATACTGCTGAGGCTGGGAAGTTTGATTTGGGCCTTTTTTTCTACCACAAGGAATCTGTGTGGAGTTGGTGATATATAAATATACCATAGTAATAATTAGTGAGTGGTGCCCCTAAGAAGCCCTTGAGGGCAAGATCCCACTGCCATTGTGGCTCACCTCATTTGCAAATGTCTTCTGCCTGCTCTTATAAGGTTCATTCAGTTATTTTTGTAATCTTATTTTTGAAGATTTTGTATTTTATACAGATATTGAATATATGGATTTTTTTCGACTGCTATATACATTTATTTTTTTATATCATGTTTTAAATTGGTTTTATGATTGTTTGCACCCAGAAACACCTGTTTGATATGAGGGGCGATATAAATTGAATCAGTGGTGAAATCTAAAATTTGTTACTACCGGTTCTGTGGGCATGGCTTGGGGGTGTGTGTGTTAATGTGACTGGATGGGCGTGGCCAATTTTTTCCCCCCTTTAAAACCATTTTTTCTGCAACCTCTTCGGCGAAGAGGTTGTAAAAAAATGCTTTCAAAAGGCTCTGACAATCCCAGCTGAGTTGCCTGATTATCAGAGGCTTTTTTTCTTTTAAATGCCTGACGATCCAAGCTGAGTTGCCTGATCGGCAGAGGCTTTTTAAAAAACCTCTGCTGATCAGGCAACTCAGCTTGGATTGTCAGACGCATTTAAAAGAAAAAAAGGGTTTTTTTAAAAAAAACCTTTGATGATGCCAGCTGAGCCGCACGATCAGAGGCTATTTTTTTTACTTTTAAAAGCATTTTTTTGGCCGAAGAGGTTGTAGAAAAAATGTTTTTAAAAGTAAAAAAAAAAAAAAAAAAAAAAGCCTCTGATGATTGTGCGGCTCAGCTGGGCATCAGGAGGCAGGGATTTTTGCTACCTGTTCTCCAAACCACCCGCCTCCATTGCTACCGGATCGGGCAATCCGGTCCAAACCGGGAACATTTCATCCCTGAATTGAATAAATAAATAAATGCTGCAATGGCATGGGAAGAACAATTTGCCTGGAAACGCAACCAAGTGGGAGGCAATCTCCACATTTCATTCTCTACTTGGTCCCAAACGCAACTTCTGGAAGAATCTTGGGCCATTTTGTCTTGAGACCCATAGTACCTCCTGCTCCTCTGCCGTTGCACCTCACTTGAGTTGAGTGTAAGGCACTTGGCCAATCTCCCTGGTCCTCCTGTCTGCTCCCTGGTCCTTCCCATTCCTGGCCCTTGCCTTGCCTTGCTTTTGCCTGGAAAGCCAAGTCCCTTTGTGAAATATTCCTCTGGTCTCTGCATGTGGATTTGTCTGAACCAGGCCTGTGCGCTGGGCATGTTCCAGATGGTTAAAAGCAGCACACAGTGTAAATCTAGAGAAACAAATTCAGAATCCTTGTTAATCTTAATTTAAATAGAGCCTTGGTACTACAGTGGTTTAAAGCACCCTGTTATTAACACAGCTGCCTGCAATTACTGCAGGTTCGAATCTTACCAGGCTCAAGGTTGACTCAGCCTTCCATCCTTTCTAAGGTAGGTTAAATGAGGACCCAGTTTGTGGGGGCAATAAGCTGACTTTGTATAAATATACACAAGTATGAAGGCTATTGCTTAACGCATTGTAAGCCGCCCTGAGTCTCCGGAGAAGGGCGGCATATAAATCAAATTTAAAAAAAAAAAAAAAATTATGGAACGGCTTTACTTCACTTTTTAAACACTAAAATCAATATGGCTTTAAATCACTTGGCATGTCTATTTAAACTTCATCCTTCCTATTCATGTGCAGATAAGGATTTGCCCAAAATCGACAATGGCATAAAAATTGTTAAAGATTGCTTGAAAACAATAATTACAAAAGGATGGCACATTTATTGCTACATAAATGTTATATACATAGTGTTTTCTGACAGACAACACTGACAGAAAAAGTGTTGAACTTGTTGCTGGTCAAAAAGATATATCTGTAATATCTTGAAATTTGACACAAGGTACAAATTTGCAATAAACCAACATATGGGAATTGAATAACCAGATGAGAAGCAATTCATTTCGGACAAATAGCTCTTACAAAATTCCATAAGGTACTACACAGGATGCTAGAACCCTACTATGCTCTTACAATGCTATTGTAAATTTCTGATATTAATGAACAGGTTATGGTAAACAACCCTACATTTCTTACTATCCATTATAGTAAAATAAAGTAAGAATTTTTTTTACTGAAAACTTTTGATTTCAAAAATCTAGAAAGAGTAATATTTAGAATTCAAGAAACTTCTTACAAGATTATTGTATAAAAGACTAGCTACAGTGAAAAATAAGACAAATGTTTTCTCTCTTGGTTTCGCAAAGGGAAACTTTGGGGTGCACAGCACACATCCTGCACAACCCAACAGAGCCAGGAGCCAAAGTTCACTGGCTGGGGAACACCAAGAAGGGGGCAGAAAATAGCCACGGAGACTTGCCCAGGGTCACTTTATGACAACCAGCATGTATTAAGAACCATCTGAAAGACACTTCCCCTGGTAGAAAAGAAGCCAGTTAGAGCCACAACACTCTCAAAGGTGGAGGAGCAATTCAAATCCTGTGAGAGAAGTTTGCTCAGGATGGCAGGGCAGTGCCACAGCGGGCCTTTCTCTGGGCTGCTACAATGGAAGACAGCATTCATGGAAGTTCAAACGGGGGTCCAAGGGGGAGGAATTGCCCAGAGAGAGGCACTCCCTGCTCCGCCCTCAGCAAAGGCAACTGACCAGGAAGGGAGGAAGCCAGGCATCAGGGCACCCTGGGCCTTCTTCTTGCACTGCTCTCATCCCAGGTCAAGATTTCAACCCAGGTTGTGCATTGCTTGTTCTTACAGCTCCAGGGCAATTCTAAACGGGCTTCCTCTCGGTCCCATTACAAGCCTTAGAAGGGAGGGAGCCGTTTGAGAAGGCAAAGGACAGAGGTGGTTTCAGCTCAAGGAGTGCTGTGGCTCTATATGGCTTGTGTCTGTGATGCAAGAGGCTGAGGGCTGTGTGTCAGAGGGCTCCTCAAGATCAAGGTACCTACCCGGGAAATACATGTCCAATGGCCAGAGAAAAGGGAGCTGGCACACGCCTTTCTCCCTTCTTTAAGACATTTGTAGGCAGGAATGGTGGGAATGTGAAGGGCCGGCGGCATTGTGGCTTCATTCTCGGAATGTACTTCTCAACATCAGGATCTCAACCAAGCTTTAAACAGATAAATGTTTCCCTTCATATGATGGATCTTGATAGTTCCATTACAAATAAATAATGTTTTCTAGTTACAATGCATTTGCCAATTCGGTTTAGGCACAAGGCAGTTTCCCCATCAAGTGGAGAGGAGATCAGAGTCTCTGATTGTGCTGGAGCGACAGGAGAACCGCAAAGAAGAGGAGAGGCGCCATCGTCTCTGGGGTGGAAGTCCTGCTGGAAGAAGAAGCCTGCTGCTCTCTCTCTCTTCAGGGGCCGGGGGTTCTCAAAGGGCCACTTCTGGATCGGTTGTTTCTCCGGCGAGATGGTCCTGTTTAATGCTATGTTGAGTGTCCTTGTGAAGAAAAGATCCCCTTCTTGGCCTCTTCCACATGGTTCTGGATTCTGATCTGGACATTAAAAGGGCAATGTTGAAGCACTGACAGTTACAGGGCACAGTGGGAAATGGCCAAGCGGCCTGGACTCTGGCTTCTGGACCAGACGATCTGCTTCCTGTGGAGCCAGTTCTTATTCTGAGCACCATAATCTGAGGCGCCAGAGCTTCGTAGCCTCACCCACCCCCAACAAAAGCCATACACTTTGTTGAGTGTGACCATTGCTGTTAATAAATCGTGCTGGTGATCTTGGACTAAAATAATATAAGATTCCCAACACAGTCTGGGTTTTGTTATGCTGCAGTTCAACTTAACACAAAGTGCAACTGACAGGTTTTTGGGTTTTGGTATACCCTGTGTGCCCACCAACGCCCGTGTCAGGCCGCCCCATCCCTGCAGACATAAAACAGGTCACCTCGTTGATGTTCACATGTGTCCCATTGGATTGGCAGTTTCACTAAGCGCTGGATGGCTTCCTGGATGAGGGTTTGGGGATTCTGCTGATACAACAGATCCCTTTTCCTCTTCCCTTCGCTTAAGGCAAGCTGCTTTGGGGTTCAGGTTCCTCTCTAGAAGTAATGACAGAAAGAAACAGGAAATACCTCCTTAAGCTGCTAGCACTGAGGCACCACTGAAGTTGAGCCTCCGCCTGGGGGTAGGATTTGCAGAAAAGCCCTTACATGTTACGCCTCTCCATCTACTGCTCCCCCACGCAGAGATCTGTGGGAACTCCTGGCTTCTGCTCTTTGGAATCTCTAGTGCGGTATAACCTATTCTTATACTAAACAAGGAGCCTTTCTGTTTAAAAATCCATTTCAATAGGACAGGTTTATAACCCATTCTTCCTTCAAAGAACTCAAGGCTTGCTTAAATGCTTCTTAACAGTCCCATGTGGGAGTCAAACAAGGGAAGGTGACTGATGCAAAGTCACCCAGACAGCCTCAGATTAAGCAAGGATTTGAGGGTTCGGACACAAGCCATCACACCCAATCTTCCAAGAGAAAGGATCTGAAAAAGTGACAGAGCGTAGTCTTTCTCCACAGACAGTTCCCAATTCTTACTTCTTTACAAAATCCCCGAGGCAGGGAAAGAAAATAAAAATTAGGCCCATGCTGCTAGCAGAAGTGATGAAATGAATGAGATGCTAATGCTTCAGATCCTTGAGTAGATACTACTGCCGATACCATCAGCATCTCATTTATATACACATCCTGGAAAAGCCTCAGCTGAGAAAGCACCACAGGAAGAAGCACAGCCGATCCAGCTAGTGTCCCGGAAGAAAGAACACTCCCACCCCCCGCTGGGTAGGAAGTGGGTACTTTGATGTCAGCTGCATCATTTCTGGAATAAAAAAAACCTTGCCTGTTGGAGGCCAACTGTCATTTCAGTTCTACCAAAGGAGGACAGTATAAAGAATTTTATAATGTGACCTCTAGAAAGGATTGTTCAAATCTGAAATGGAGAAAATATGCGGTGGAGAGCAGGCAGCACTTGCCTTCAGGGGCAAAGGAAACCTTCAGCCTCTTGTGCCCCCTGCCCCAGCTTACCTCGGACCTGCTGCTCCAGACTGAGGATGACTGCCACAGCCTGGTGAAGGATCAGAAGCTTGGTCTGAGGCTTTTCGCTCTTCAGGTGGAGCTGGCACATCCGGCCCAGTTCCTTGAAGGCTTCGTTGATGTCCCGGACACGCAAGCGCTCCCGGGCATTGTTAGCCATCCTCCGTTCCCGCTCACGCTCCAGCTTCTGCTCCGGGTTCAGCTCCTCATCTTCGTTCGTGCTACTTTTGAAACAAAAACAGGAAAGGTGTTGAAAGTTAATTTTATTCTTCCACATTGCACCGATTATCGCCTTGCCTATAACTGGCTGGATTTTTTAAAGCAACGCCTACAACAGTAAACAATTTTATGCTTCCAACTGCAGAAAAGCCACTGGGGGGTACATTTTCTGCAACCAACACTTTGGTTTTGTTCTTCAAGGGGTTGCTTGTCTGCTCTGCCTCTCACAAGTGAAGAATGGGCACAAACTCACGGCCTGCCTGTTTCTACAGGGGAGATACAGGGGAGAGTTCATTGCCAATATGACTCTTCCTCTTGTCCCTTACTAGTTGTGGTAGCCAAACTTTTTAAGATTTAGCCATGTGCTGCTTTGTTTGGACAGCAAGCGCAGTCAGGTAATCGCACAGGAGCCCTTGTGACGTGGGTCAGGTGTCCAACAGACTGGGCAGTCCTCAGATTACATCCATTCGGTCAGTAATTGTTCAGTGTTAGGGTGGCACTAAAAAATGGATATACAATCAGTCCTTGAAGTTCTGGCCATCGCAGACGCCCCAGGATTGTGACCTGGGCCCTCACATGACCACCTGTTGCCATCTTCCCTGCCCACTTTCCCCAAGCAAAGCAGAGAAGGTCGCAAGTAGCTCTACTAAGTCTCTCCTGCTTTTTCTCCCACCCACTGCATGCATACCAGCTCTCCCCTGACCCACCCCCCAGCATCCCTCCCCCCCTGCATTGCTCGTTACTTGAGACTCCTGCCCCTGCCCATTTAACAACATGCACAGCTCGGGGTTACAACAGCCACCGGAGCTGCTGCCACTAAGTGAGGCAGTCACATAACCTTGTTTTATGACCACCTCATAATTTAGCAACAGTAATTCCAGTCATAATCCAAGGACTACTTCTGCTAAACTTAACAAGGAAACCTGACTACCATCCCATCCCCCAACAATCTATCTAGACTCAAAAAACGGCCCACTTTCCAGCCTGATGCCCAGGCCTCAACCCCAAGGGTAATGCCCTCTGCCTCTTCTGCTCACAGAAGGCGATGGACTGCCTTCCACATTTCCTCACCAGATTCTTTCCTATTGCATGTTCTACACATAGAACATGATCCTTGCCACTGGCACATACTGAGAAACTAGTTTTATTACTCTGGTGGTATTCTGATCCAGACAGACCATTTGATTTCTGGGATAGGAGGAAAGAAGCCAATGTACCTCGTCCTGCCTCTGGAGATTTTGATATCCTTCTGGGAGGACTCCTCATCAAATTTCATGTCATCGGAGGACGCAGGTTCCTGTGCATTTTCATCCTTCTCATTGTGCTCCGACTTGATTTCCAGCGGGACCAGGGCTACTGATGGGGTTGGCAGCCCAGCGGGCAGCACTGCAAGGAAAGCCAGTGAAGTGCAACATGGCCTATTTTATTTATTTGTAAGATTTATATGGCTGCCCAGTCACTTTCAGTGACTCTGGGCTGCTTACAAACAATAAAAAACCCAATATAGGAGAATAAAAAACAGTAACCCTCCCCCGCCCTTTTAGAAAAGAAGCTGTGACCAATCCTCTTAATGGATAGCAGGCAAAATCTAGAGCAAACAGAAAATGATAATTCCTATGAAATAGTGCTAGGACATATTTGAAGAGTTACAATTTGAAACTTGTTAAAGAAAAAAGCAGATTATCAGAGGTGGGTGCAAGCTTTCTGTGGAATGTCCAGATGAGTGTGGTTTGATGAGAAACTTCTGGAATACCCCAGAGGGTTCTATATCCAAGGGAAAGGCTCTATGTACACTCAGTGCTAGGCATAAATCGGGAAGGGACTGGAGACAAAGCTGCCAGTGCAGCAGCACCCTGCCCTCAGTGCGTGGTGCAATTCTTTGCACTGTTCTGGTCTAAACACCTTATAAAAAGAATATTACTGTTCCACAAAGAGCAATCAAAACAGTTACTGGCTACAAGAGCTCTTCCATGAGGAAGACAAAACATTTTAGGTTAGAAAACAACTTATGGGGTGTGTGTGTGTGTGTGTGTGTGTGTGTGTGTGTGTGTGTGTGTACACACGCACGTGTTGGGGACACATGTAACAGAGGAATCTGAAGTAATGCATGGTAAGGGAAACCAAGACAGAGACAAATTTTTCTTCCTCTAGAAATATTTGAACGGGCCAATCCACTGAAGCAAAACATGGCTGGACTCGGGAGAACTGGGATGTGGGAAGTTCTTTATCCAACTAATAAGCAAGCAAAAACAATCTTTGTTGCCAAGGAGAGGAATCCTACAGATCCATGAAAAGGGCTTATGGTCGTTACTCATTTCACAAAGATTCCCACTAAATTTCCAGGCTGAAGAAATTGAAATGTGACTCACCTCTACAGCTTTCTTGGATTTTATGATTTAGTTCTGTATTCTGGGCAGGAACAGTGTTGCACAACCCTGAATTATTGCTATTGAGGCTGACACCATCTTCCCGATGTGTGCTGACCTAGGACAAAGACAGCACGGACACAGATCGCCATTCAGCCTGGCATGAGATCAGCAATGTCCAATCCACCTGAACAGATTCTGCCATCGTTCTGACTGCAATCCTACAGCAGAAGTTGCATGTGTATGCCATGTGAGAAAGTTGTGAGAACTCAATGAGCCGGCGGAGGGGGTTTCTGAGGGACTCTACTCCTCGGGAGTCACCACCCACACTTTCTGCAGGAGCTGCCCTCCCAGCAGAAGCAAGATCTTGTTGCTGACTTTTGGGAAGGAAAACAGGGCTTCTGGCAAGAGCTTGTGAGGCAGTGGAGTCACAGGCTGCAATGAGCTGGAGTGCCCTTCCTGGAAGTATGGCACAGGATGTTCTGTGGGCTAGGATATCGATCTCACAATATTTATACTTAAATGATTGTAGAATTTAAGAGTTCTTCCGTTTTAGCCCTCTGAATCTACTCTAGTGTCTCTGGCCAATGACTCTCCACTTTGTTTCTTGTCTTGTGTACATTCTTTAATGATGTTCCTATGTGCTACTTAAGAGCTGCAGAGGTGCTGCAATGCTGTGGTCAGGTGTGTGTGTGTGTGTCACAGAGAGAGAGAGAGAGAGAGGAGGGGGGAGGAAGGGAGAGAGAGAGAGTGAGACAGACAGACAGACAGACATGACAGTATGAAGAATGGAGCAGGGCGTGAGAAGGTGTAGGAACCAAGCAGAAGTCCCAAAGGTGCTTTTTCAAGAGGCAACTGGATTTTTCTTTGAAGATGTTTTGCTTCTTATCCAAGAAGCTTCTTCTTCTTCTTGGATGAGAAGTGAAACACCTTGAAAGAAAAACAAGAAAGTCCAGTTGCCTCTTCAAAAAGCATTTTTGGGGCAACCATGATCTGGATGACAGAGAATCTCTATAGATAACCAAGCAGAGGGACCTGCCCTTTTCCAGGCATCTCATGTGGCCCAGAGTGCTGGCTGGACCAAAACCAGGGAAGGAAAGTACCGTGCTCAGTCACAAGTGTCTGCCTAATAAGGAAAGATCAGATGCTCACCATCGAGGCTTGTCTACTGGCTATGACGAGGCTGGACGTGCTGTAAGTGGCATTCAAAGTGCTAACAGGCCTATTGTGGGATGGCCGCAATAAGCCCTCCATCTCTCCGTGGGACCCTGCCAGGCTTGTTGAAGGACCCACGGCGTGGTTTCTCAGCACATTGATGGCGTCATCGAGTCTGTCCAGGCGATCTTCCATCCGGGACTGCTGTTGGGATTGAGGGGTGCAGGAAGGTCATTTATGGTACACAGCAGTTTATTCCATTCAATTCTCGAGCGTTCTACAATGGGAAATGGGAAAGGCAGCCAGGGAAATGTGGTGGTATCAAAAGGACTTCAAAAATAGCCAGAAGTGCAACCTGCAACTATGTGAGAGGGTAACACTTCTGGTTCCAAAACAAGAGAGGTGAACTACAAAACTAATCTTGCTTGGTATTCTGGAATAAAGCTTAAAAGAAAGAAGCAAAACTCTTAATGGGGATTAAAAAGGAAAAATGGTAAAATAATTTGACTTTGACAAGATTACTGTTTTCTAGCCAACGAATTACAGCAAGCAGAAATAGCCAGAGGAGATTAGTATTCAAAACAGCTTTCAAGTTCCATCATACCCGGCAAACTGGTCTTTCTTCCCTCGGCCACTCCTGAGAGTTGGGCAGAGCCTCTGTGGCCCTGATCTGTTCCCAGCCAAAAGAAACGGCTAGGAATGAGCAGCCAGGCACCAGCCCCATCAGGATCCTGCCCTCCTCTTCCCAAAGAGCTTAAGAGTCAGATTTGACCATTACTACCATGATGCAAAATGCAGGAAAGAGGGGGGGGGGGTTTGAGATAGAGCAGTTTGCTTTCAGGTTTGAACTCTCAAATCAGATTTTCCTGATTTCATGCCAACATTAATCTTGGCATATATTTACTGATTGTTCAAATAAAGTACGGGTGTCAAACTCGCTGCGTCACGTTGTCGTCATGTGACGTTTAGTGACGCTTTCCCCCTTCGTGGAGCTGGGGTGAACGTGGCCTGCAAGTGATGCATCTGGCCCATGGGCCGCTAGTTTGACACCCATGAAATAAAGTATGCAAAAGAGCATTCAAACATAAAGCTTTTTTACAAGTTGAAAAGACCAACTGATGGAAGGAAGAGATTCATCAGCTGTGCCACAGTAAATGGGGTGGGTTGTAACTTTTAAAAATCTGCAAGTAGAATTAACCAAAAAAACCCCCCCAAAAGGCACCCTCTAAAGAGAAATAGTACCTCACAGACATCCTTTAAGAAGGACATAGCATCTTGCAAATGCTCGTGAAGTTGTTGCTCAACTCGATTTTTCTGGCAAAATCAAGACAGAAGAAGAAGGAAAGCACAAGTTAAGTAATGATAAAGAGGTGAGGTAAATAGCTGGTGTGCAGGTCAGCCTCAGTGGTTAGTTAAGTTAATACCACAAAGATCTAATTAAACTTGGAACTAAGGAGATAAAATGCTGTGCGCCAGAGCAATCTCTATAGATTGTTTATGTACATTTGCAATGGAAGGCAGTAGGTGAAGTACTGCATTTTTTAGCTGCGTGAGAAAAATGTTACGTTGGGAGATCTTAAAATGCTTCATCAATATGTACACATTATTTTTCTCTTCTGCTTCTGAGACAGGACTGAGAGCTTTCTACATTAATTCCTATTACCATCTCTCCTTCACAGATGCACACAAGGTGTTTAGTGGAGGGGACCTGGGAAGCAGAGCAGTCATGCCTCCTCCCTCTTCCGCAGCGCCCAGCTATCAGGGGTTGCTCCTCTGTCTTGGTCCTATTAGATCTCTCAGCGGCTTTTGATACCATCGACCATGGTATCATGCTGCAGCGGTTGAGGGGGTTAGGAATAGGGAGCACCGTTCTGCGGTGGTTCTCCTCCTTCCTCTCTGACCGTTCGCAGTTTGTGTTGGCAGGGGGGCAGAGGTCAACCTCGAGGCGCCTCGCATGGGGAGTGCCGCAAGGGTCGGTTCTCTCGCCCCTTCTGTTCAACATTTATGTGAAGCCGCTGGGTGAGATCATCCATGGTTTTGGGGTGAGAGTCCATCAGTACGCTGATGATACTCAGCTGTACATCTCCACCCCAGACCACCCCAACGATGCCCTTGATGTGATGTCTCGCTGCCTGGAGGCCGTGCGGGTCTGGATGGGGAGAAATAGGCTCAGACTTAAACCTTCCAAGACCGAGTGGCTGTGGCTTCCAGCGTCCCGATATAGTCAGCTGGTGCCATCCCTGACTATTGGGGGTGAATCGCTGCCCCCCCAGAGAGGGCTCGCAATCTGGGTATCCTCCTGGACGCACGGCTGTCTTTAGAATGACAGCCGTGGCCAGGGGGGCTTTTTATCAGGTTCGCCTGATTCGCCAGTTGCAGCCCTTTCTGGACCGGGATGCCTTGCGCACAGTCACTCACACCCTTGTCACCTCCCGGCTGGACTACTGTAATGCTCTCTACATGGGGCTCCCCTTGAAGAGCACTCGGAGGCTCCAACTGGTCCAGAATCCGTCCGCGCGGGTGGTTATGGGCGCAACCTGTTGTGCCCACGTGACACCCCTCCTGCGCGAGCTGCACTGGCTCCCAGTGGTATTCTGGGTGCGATTCAAGGTGCTGGTCACCACCTTTAAAGCGCTCCATGGCATAGGACCCGGGTACCTTCGAGACCGATTTCTGTCACCAATAGCCTCCCACCGGCCAGTCCGCTCCCACAGAGGGTCTCCTCAGGGTGCCATCGGCCAAATTATGTCGGTTGGCGACACCCAGGGGGAGGGTCTTCTCTGTGGGAGCCCCTGCCCTGTGGAATGAACTGCCCCCGGAAATGCGTAAGATCTCTGACCTCCGTGTATTTCGCTGTGCCCTTAAGACCCTGCTGTTCCACCAGGCCGGGCTATCAATGTAATGATTTTAAATTAGGTGTTTTAAATTTCGGGGGTTTTAAATTTGAGTCGAAACTATTTAATAATTTTAATAGTTTTTAATTAATGTCTGTCTTTGTGTTTTTAATAGGCTGTACACCGCCCTGAGTCCTTCGGGAGAAGGGCGGTATAGAAATATTATTATTATTATTATTATTATTATTATTATTATTATTATTATTATTATTATTATTTATCAGGAGCCACCTGTCTGGATTCATCCTTTCATGCTGATGGTCTCATGTCTAGATCCCATTTCACTGCATACACATTGTGGGTTCTCTTCATCCTTAATTTTTCTGTGCTAAAGAGCCCAATGCGATACCTCCTTTCTCGAGTTATACCAATTGTCTTTTGGAATATTTTCAAATTCTTCAATATCCTTTGAGACCAATGGTCCATGAACAAAAGAGATGCTGATGTAGTAATGTAAGTGGCAAGCAGAATTACACCATTTTCAATTCAACTAAGAATCTCCCAAAGATAAAACTCATTTTGATGTTGCAGTTTTAATTACTGCTGAATTTGTTTGTTTTAAAAAAGGGAAATATGATTTTAATGCACTGTAAATTTTCCCGAGAAAATGGTTTTGAAAGGCAACCTACACAAAAATAAGCATCTTGGTTCTGTTAAGGGGAAATGAACGTGTAAGTAAGATTTGTTTCAATGAAACCAGAAAGCTATTTCTTGAACAGAGTTACCCAGCAATTCTTACCAATGAATGTAAAGAATTTTCATAGCTTGGAGACAGAGGGGCTTGTCCTCCAGTTCTTGACCACTGACCAGCACCTGTCAAAATCAAAACTGCTGAAGCATGGCACATGCAGGAGAAACATATCCTACTGCTGCCAACATCTTCTGATTTATAAAGAGCTTTCTATTATTTTTATATGCATTTTGGAATGGTTTTCTTTGTGGAGCCCAAATCCACAAATCCTGAATGAGAGCACCTTAAATATCAAATTTTGGTCAACGGGGCATTCACAGGTTGTCTGCACATGCTCAGCAGCTCTTTGATGTTTACTGGAAAGCAGAAATCCAGCAAAACAGCACAATTGCCAGATTGCACTTGTATGCTAGAAAATCAGTTCTTACAAGACTTCAAAAAAGGAAGAGGTGGTAGGGGGAGCAAGAGGAAGAGGAGGAGATGGATACTACCTGTGAGAGATGATGGTGATCCAACAGGTGTTGAAGGATTTGAAGGAAAGCTACTACTAGTGTGGTCAGGAGAATAAATCTGGAAAAAAAGAAATTTCACAATTGAACTATTTGATATGCTAGAATCTACACATTAAAAAATTCAGCTGAACAAAGGTTGAAGAAATTGAAATGTTTAGAAATGTTCAACCTGGTAACTGAGAGCAACCCACACTCCCTACTAAGAGGTGATGATGTTACTTAGTTTGGTAATTAAAAGTCTGCAAGAAAACAACCAAGCTCAGAGAGCACCAAGGACCCTACAGTCCTTGGGACAAATATTCCTTTCTATCAATAACTGTAATTCCCTGTGATTCTCTCCCCAATGCAGTTCCTATAGTTCTTATATAATAGTTCCCAATTCTACTGTTTATCTTAAATGCACATCTGACTATTTAAACTCCACCAGGATTGCCAAAGGCCAAGTCACCAAGGCTGAAGCTGTAGGCTCTGAGCTGTCAAAGGAGAGACTTAAAATGCCCATGTCATCATCCTTTGAGACACCATTGGGACCCCTGGGCCTCAAGCAATGCAAGCCATTCAAGGATCACTTGGAATAGTCAACTTCCCAATGTTTCCCTCTTTGTTCAGAGACTGTGAGCCCTGAGCTATCCAAGCTGCACAAAGGCTGCGCTCTCTGAACTGGAAATAGGAAGCAAAATGTAGGTTTGGACAAAGAGATTTGATATAACCAACATTAAAGAAAAACCTCTGATTTGATATTCTTTAAATTAAAAACCAAGTGTTTTGATTTGGCATTAAACACTGACATAAACCAGATGCTTCTCTCACCATGGAACCCCCAATGGGTACCATCTATAGGATTATTGTTTGGCAAATGTTCAGGGAGGCACATTAAATATGGTAGACATGCCCAGATTTTCTTTGCTTTCTATCCACACCAGTTCATTATCCATGCCCAAATATAATCCATTGGGCTTTGAGAGCTTTGGGTAAATACGTTTGTGTACAATTCTCTTTCTTTCCCGCTCTAAAATTAAGACTGCAATTATCTAGGCTTAAATCTAAAATAAAAGGACCTTTGCAAATGTATTATCTGACCTTTCTTTTTTAGCCATGGAGTATTTTGAAAGGAATTTGTATTTAGATTCGTAAACAAATGTTGCATCCTGTTATTTTTTAAAAAGCACCACATCAGACGCAATCTTATTTCTGCTATTAATGACAACATTTAAAAGGGAGAGAAAGGCAGCAGCTTTACAATTTCAGGATGGTTTTATTGCTTCATCAGACAGGTTAAAAGCTAAAGAACAAAGTATTCGGAATCCTTCATTCGCATGCCTCCTTTCTCAAGAGTAGCAGAGGGCAATGAACACACATCTCCAGGTGAGGGAAAGCCCAGGACTGCTCGACTCTAGCAAGGGCTGAGAGGCCAACAATCAGCCCCACGGAATATTTGGGAACTGACTTGCTGATTCATGTCAAGCAGCACCAAGGTGAAGGGCTGCCTTAACTTAGACAAGAAGGCTTAGACAACTTAGAACTAAGCCACCTTTGGTCTGACCTAAGCATAGGTCATAAAATCATCTGCTACAATGTCCTACCTGTCAATGACTACTTCAGCTTCAACCACAATACACGAGCAAAGAATAGATACAAACTTAAGGTAAACTGCTCCAAACTTGATTGCGGAAAATATGACTTCAGCAACAGAGTGGTCAATGTCTGGCATGCACCACCTGACTCTGTGGTTTCTTCCCCAAATCCCCAAAACTTTAACCTTAGACTGTCTACCTCACCTCATTCCTAAGAGGTTGTTAAGGGGTGTGCATAAGCGCATCCGGTGTACCTACCATCCCTGTCCTAATGTTCCCTTTTATTCGTATCCATTTCATGTATTCATAATTATGTTTATACTTATATCTGTTATCTAATACATGCTGGAAGGAAGGAAGGGAGGAAGGGAGGGAGGAGGGAAGGAATAAATAAATAAATAATCTTCCAATTATGCAAACGGCTTGTTTCTCGGCACACACTACACTCCTCTCTTCTGCCTCCAACTAACAGTACCCATTCATACTAGACCTTTGGCAAACTGGCTGCATCCAATCTCCCTCCCATTTCTTTGTCATGGAGACCTTAATGGAACTCAGATGCCTCCTCTCTGGGGGGAGCCAACCCCAGGAGGAAGCTTTGGGGAGGAAACTTTAGGGCAAAGCTGCTACAGGCAAGGTAGCTGCAACACTGAACCCCTGCCTATGCCATGCAGTTAATTATAGAATGTATTTCTCATGATGAATTTATTTCTTAACCTCTGGACAATCAACAGCTTACTCCATTTTATTAGCTGCCCTCTGTTGTAGATTTCTAAAGGAATATTTCAAGGGTCATGGTTTAAAATATAAATGGCATTAAAGAAACAACCCTGAGTAGGAGAGCTTTTCAGACAGTCTTTGGAAATACAAAGCCTTCAGCAATGCAATTTTACAGCACATAATTATTTTGTTTTGGGTCTTGCAACTTGTTTTCTGTGGCTCCATGGGTACGCTCCCCTCTGTCTGCCTATTCAGGGGGGATGGGGAGAGTTTTGCTGCCATGTAACATGCCTGAAAGGAGCTTTAGGTGTGAACAAACTTTAGGGTTAGGGTCAATCACACATTCACGGAAATGCCCCCCTCAAATCCAAGCCACCCTGGGGTTGCTGGCCACAGACACCTCCGGGTGCATTCTGGGTTTCTTCATTGAGATCTACTTGAGACAATTTGAAGGGCAGGAATTTGTATATGGAGTTTGGGTCCTTCACAGAATTGCTCCATAAACAATTACTTACGGAGGCCAAAGCTTTTCCAAGGGCATCCCCAGTCTGTGAACTTCCAGCAGGATTCCCTCTATGCGCTGTAAAGAAAAAGGCAACACAATATATATATATATATGTCAGTTTATTGCCCCCCACAATCTGGGTCCTCATTTTACCTACCTTTGAAAGGATGGAAGGCTGAGTCAACCTTGAACCTGGTGAGATCTGAACTTGCAGTAATTGCAAGCAGCAGATGTTAATAACAGTGCTTTAGTCCACTGTACTACCAAGGCTCTAATATTGATGTGGTGCAGCTGGCAAGAACACCCAGATGGTATTTAAGAGAGCAGAATGGGGGGAGAGGAAGAAAGAGATTAAGAAGGGAAATTACTTCTGAGCTGCTGTTTTCAAAGGGCCCTTCCTTCTGGGGAATGCACATCCTCTTAACTACAGGCAAGGTTAGTTTGCAAAGATGCTAAGAGAAGAGGCTTCCTTCAAAGAGGGCTGGAAAGCAAACTTTCCCAACCTACAGTCAAAATGTAGGACCCCAAAGCATCCACTGAATCGGTTTATATAGGATTGTCTTTCTCCCATCCCATGGAATTCCAGAACTTGCGAAAAGGAGAGGCAATCGCCTCCATTTGGAGCTGTGCCGTGATCATTCTCTACTTTAGGGACCTAGGTAAATGGGCTGCCCTATCCCGGTCTTATTATGGTCAAGAATTAAAACGCAAATCCAAACATTTTTTTCCGTCAGTGCCACAAAGGTAAGAAAATATTCACATATGGCAATTAAATTACAACGTGTCTCTATGATAGGTCTTACTCGTGCTCATCTGCAACCTTTTCAAAGGCAGCATTATCATGCTTTAAAAATGTATGTCAATGTGCCAAGGCCTTACAGCCCATTTACTGCAATCCCCAATCAATGCAGGAGACCTCAATCTAAAACATCCTGAATTTCTCTGACAGAGTAATTAAGAGGATTACATGCTATGCGGAATGGACTTGGATATCCTTTAGAGAAGTCTTATGCCCTGGACCGGAAGGGGTAAGACCTTGAGGCGTTCTCCCTCTGAGCCACCTGGCAATGGCAGAAGCTGAAAGTCTGACCTTGGTGAGGACATCAAACTTTGCAGTTTCTCTGTGAATCTTAGTTCTGCCTATAAAGAAGCCAAGGGCCCTTCGAACGCTGTACCCTTCAGGTGAGGGAGATTAGAAGATTGGTAGTGGCATGTCCAAAATCTACGGAAAACAGAAGTAATTTTAGATTTGAATGCCAGATCTAGCTGCAGCATTTCGTCTTCATGAAAGAGGTTGATTCCCTTAGGCAAATTCAGGATCCTTCCTAACGAATGGCCACTGTGGGAGGAGAGTGTTAGGCTAGACAAATATGTTCCTGTTTTTAAAGGTCTTCAGGCAAAACATCTTTTTCTTCTAAATTGTCTGTTCAGCCACTTGGACATAATGATCCAATGACAAGAGACATGTTCCATCTCGACTGCTGATATTTTTCTGAGAAGGTGAGCTACCACTTGCACGCTTCCTTGTGTACGTGAACTTATACTTCTCTATCTTTTGCTGCCTGCCAGCCTATCAGTACCAATCAGAATGAAAATGAAGCTGCTGGGGCAATCTGATCCTCAAGGAGTATTGTTCAAGCTAGGAAAACTCATCTGCCTAACCAACTATTTAGTCCAGGATTACACATTGGTCCCATCATGCTGGATAAGCATCGAACAGCATTTCCGGATCACATTTGCAAAAATAAATAATTTAGTTCAGTCAAATAGCCCAAAGCAGCACACTGCTTAAGACAATAGAGTTCATCACTGATCAATCCTCAAGTCTTTTTTAAAAAGTGCGTATCTTTATAAGAAATCATGAAAAGACTTCAGATGTCAGTTTTGGAAGACAGTTTTTCTTTTTTGCTTCCTAACTGCCACATATTTTAGCCTGGGAAATTGGGAGGGGGCTTTTGTTGGAGTGGTAGAAAGTTAGTCATAACAACATTCCGTATTCAAGGACACTTTTGCCTGCACCTGCTGGAGACTGCCTGGAGACTGTATCCAGTTGAATGGGAAGAGTTGATTGGACTATGTGATGAACTTGTGGGTGTGGGGCAGGGCTGTGAACTGTTAGCTGGGTGTGGAAAACCTGGAAGCTTTCAGATTCGGGTTTTCCCAGATGTGCCAACATGACATCTCTAATGAATTGGAACTTTGAGGAACCTCAGGCCTTGGAGTTTTATTTCACTGGGGGTGTTCCTTGGAATCCTGACATCAGAATCACCAATCAGAGTGCACAAAACACACCAAATGCATGAATAAGCTGAAATGTCACCTCAATAAGATCTATAAATCTGGGATTTGGGGGAAATCTGAAGCTTGCTTATTAGGTAAATATATTTATTTATTTATTTATTTATTCGCATTTCTATACCGCCCTTCTCCTTTCGGACTCAGGGCGGTGAACAGCCAGATAAAAAACATCTATACAAACATCACAATTAAAATAGAATTAAGATAATTTATAAATTTGGCTCATAATTTAAAACTTGTCAATTAAAATAAATATTAAAATTTTAAAAATTTTAAAACTAACCCTAAAATCAGGACAGACCGGCTAGTTGAAAAAAATGAGTTTTTAGGGCCCGACGAAAAATCCGGAGGTCGGAGATCACTCGTATCTCTGGGGGTAGATTGTTCCATAGGGTAGGTGCCACCACAGAGAAGGCTCTCCTCCTGGGGGTCGTCAGCCGGCATTGTCTGGCCGACGGCACCCTGAGGAGGCCCTCTCTGTGGGAGCGAACCGGCCGGTGGGAGGCTATTGGTGGCAGAAGGCAGTCCCGTAAGTACCCTGGCCCTAAGCCATGGAGCGCTTTAAAGGTAATCACCAACACCTTGAAGCGCACCCGGAAGTCCACCGGAAGCCAATGCAGCTCGCGCAGGAGAGGAGTCACATGGGAGCGCCCCGTCGCTCCCATAATCCCCCGCGCAGCCGCATTCTGCACCAGTTGGAGCCTCCGGGTGCACCCCAAGGGGAGCCCCATGTAGAGAGCGTTACAATAGTCCAGACGAGAAGTGACGAGTGCTTGAGTGACCGTGCGTAGGGAGTCCCGGTCCAGAAAGGGACGCAACTGGCGTATCAGGCGAACCTGACAAAAAGCCCTCCTGGCCACGGCTGTCATATGCCCTTCTAAGGACAGCCGCGCATCCAGGAGGACACCCAAGTTGCGGGCCCTCTCTGTGGGGGCCAATGATTCGACCCCAATAACCAGCGATGGCGTCAGCTGGCTATACCGGGACGCTGGCAGCCACAGCCACTCGGTCTTGGAAGGGTTGAGTCGAAGCCTGTTTCTCCCCATCCAGACCCGCACGGCCTCCAGGCACTGGGACATCACTTCCAAGGCATCATTGGGATGGTCTGGGGTGGAAATGTACAGCTGAGTGTCATCAGCGTACTGATGGAACTCCACCCCAAAACGTTCTTCCTGAATAGAAGTTATAACCATATTTTAACTACAATAAAAGACAAATGATTTCTGGTCCAATCACTTTTTTTAAAAAAATTGTCTGTCGCACATTTATTTTGGAGCAGTGCAGAAATAATATCCAGATCGACATACAATGCCATCACATCAGCTTCGTGAATAGATCCACAAGTATGAAAAATGTTTTCTAGGCTGTGCTTTCAGAGTGGAGATCAAATTGTGATGTGAAAATATTCCGACTCTAAAAATACCAACATTATAAGTCTTGCCAGCTGACAAATCCTTTTTACGTTTTAGCAGATAATTTGTACCATCACAACTTAACTGTAACTAAACTAGATATAAATTTTATGGACAATTTTAGGACTCCAATATCTTACCAAGCACACTGGTCTCTGATCCGTTGACTGGTGGAGTATGAGAGGCAGCAGCGGCAGCAGCGGCAGCAGCAGCATATAATAAGTTACTGCTACTGCCCCGGTGGAAGCTGGACATTGGCGGAAGGCTAGTGCTTCCATCTGTTGGTGAGGCTGAATGAGGAGGACAACTCTAGGAAAAAGCAGAAATGGAATCACAGTGCAAGAAGGGAACAAAAGTGGCAATTTCATATTAGCAAAATTCAAAGTAACCCCAAACTCTTAGTTACAAAGAGCACAATGGTCATCCGAACTAAACCAGAGTTCATGAAGCAAACAAAAGGAAGAAAGATACCTTGCCTCAATAATCCACAATCATCTCTGAATGTGAGATTTTATTTTTAGGCATTCAAGTCAATGCTGACAATGAAGGCGGTGGGGCTGTTTGGAGATAATGGGAAACTCTCTTTCTCCATCATCTGGAAAGAAAAGCTAGGGTCCCATCATTCTGCAGATGCTGCTACCGGTACTGGTTATAACTGAACTGCGTAACACTTCAGCAATTCTGGTAACAAACTCTAAAACTTAGTTTTACAATTCTTAGGTTTAGTGGGCTCAAATGGAATGGGCAACTGGATGAATGAAAGGTGTGCAGGAGCTCAATGCTCATCCAATCTCATTTGTGAAACAGGAAGCCAAAGTCCAATTAGGCCCAAATTATTAAATTGAGGTGTCAACAGGCACCATGTGTAGAGAAGCCACTTTCTCCCTACAAATCTGAATTGCTGTACAGCTGGATCATCCACTCCAAAACAAGTGACATGCCATGTCTGAAGACCAGAAGCTCTTCTAGTTTGGAAGATGAACTTCCTGAAAACCCTGAACCATACCTGGAGTAGTGAGTTTGCTCTGATCCAGAGGAATTTGTCAGCCTGTTTCCAGGATAATGGATACAAATTTAAGAATACAAAGGAACAGAATGTGTTATATGCACAGACTTCCCAAAACACCAGGGAGATCACTGAAAGAGTTTACTGATTTTCCCACAGCCTCTACTTTAGCCGATTATTCAGGGACACGTGGCACTGCCGTCCTCCCTACCACCATCTTACCAGGCGCTCATGGGGATGTCGGCTGCCATAACTACCGGAGGGCGACAGGTGAGAAGAACTTTCCAGCATTCCACCATAACCTGACTGGCTCACTCCATGGGAGGGGCTCCAAAGTTCAGGAGCGATGTGGGTCCCATCTTTATTGTTGGATGAAAATAAAAGACAGAAGGCCTGAGGCATCTGGTCAGGCACAGTTATCAGTTTTTACTCTTCAGAAGCTCTGCCCTGCATTTAGGAACAGGCAAAGAGCAGGGCTTGAGAACGGTAGAGGGGTGGGTAGCTCAGAAAGGATGAGAATGCAGATGAGCCACCTGCCCCATGGACCAATTGCCCCGACATGTGATTCTCAGGCCTTTCCTCCCACCCTTTCAACTCGGTGGACTTTGGGCTCTTTTTCCCCAGCCTTGAGCCTGGGAAGCCCCTGTCCCAAGTGTAGACGATGTAAACAGAAATCAGAAGAACACTCCAAGTACTTTCTGTGAATTGTCTGAGGCCTATACACTAGCCAAGGACAACCCAATTCCAAGCACACAAAAGCTGTGCAGAAGAACAGTGTGTTGTGTAACTGTGAGAACCTAATTTCTTAAAGGAGAAACTGAAAAAATAAGAAATGGATCTGACACTGATATGTGTCCTGGCAAACATATTTTCAGAATCTTGGGTTGGCCTTTTCAGCTTGGTCTGGATTGACAAGAGTTTCTGCATAATTACATAACCTCCCTGCTTTAAGGTGTGTAGTAGTGAAGAAGTTGCTTCTTTCACTGCAACTGCCATTAGATCCTTTTTCTAGAGGATATAGAACTGGCACAAGAAGTCTACTTGATTCAGGTAGAAACAAGTACCGTATTTTTCGGAGTGTAAGACGCACTGGAGTATAAGACGCACCTTAGTTTTTGGGGAGGAAAATAAGAAAAAAGCTGATTGGCAGGTGGATTGGCCTCCCAGAATACCCCCAATCAGCTGTTCCCAGAGGTGAATTTTAGCAACAGGTTCCTTGGTTGTGAGCTCTGTGCCTTGCTTTTTTTTGCTTTTTTTCCTGCCTCTGAAACTTCTGAAACTCCATTTCAGAAAAAACTTTCTTTTCTGCCTCTGAAACGTATCTGGATCCATTCCAGTCGGGCTTCAGGCCCGGGTACAGCACAGAAACGGCATTGGTCGCGTTGGTTGATGATCTCTGGAGGGCTCGGGACAGGGGGTGCTCCTCTGTCCTGGTCCTGTTAGATCTCTCAGCGGCTTTTGATACCATCGACCATGGTATCATGCTGCACCGGTTGGAAGAGTTGGGGGTGGGAGGCACTGTGTTGCGGTGGTTCTCCTCCTTTCTCTCTGACTGGTCGCAGTCTGTGTTGACAGGGGGACAGAGGTCGACCCCGAGGCCCCTCATATGTGGGGTGCCGCAAGGGTCGGTCCTCTCGCCTCTCCTGTTCAACATTTATGTGAAGCCGCTGGGCGAGATCATCCGTGGTTTCGGGGTGGAGTACCATCAGTACGCTGACGACACCCAGCTGTACATCTCCACCCCGGATCACCCCAACGATGCCCTTGAAGTGATGTCCTGGTGCCTGGAGGCCGTACGGATCTGGATGGGGAGGAACAGGCTCAGGCTCAACCCATCCAAGACTGAGTGGCTGTGGTTTCCGACGTCCCGATATAGTCAGTTGACGCCATCACTGACTATTGGGGGTGAATCATTGGCCCCCACGGAGAGGGCTCGCAACTTGGGCGTCCTCCTGGATTCACGGCTGTCTTTAGAAGAGCACTTGACGGCCGTGACCGGGAGGATTTTTCATCAGGTTCGCCTGATTCGCCAGTTGCGTCCCTTTCTGGATCGGGACTCGTTACGCACGGTCACTCATGCCCTTGTCACCTCCTGCCTGGACTATTGCAACGCTCTCTACATGGGGCTCCCCTTGAGGAGCACCCGGAGGCTCCAACTGGCGCAGAGTGCGGTCGCGTGGGTGGTAATGGGAGCGACTTGGCGTTCCCATGTAACACCCCTCCTGCGCGAGCTGTACTGGCTCCCGGTGGTCTTCCGGGTGCGCTTCAAGGTTCTGGTTACCACCTTTAAAGCGCTCCATGGCTTAGGACCCGGGTACTTGCGGGACCGCCTACTACCACCAATAGCCTCCCACCGGCCGGTACGCTCCCATAGAGAGGGGCTCCTCCGGGTGCCGTCAGCCAAACAATGCCGACTGGCGGCCCCCAGGGGGAGAGCCTTCTCTGTGGGGGCACCTACTATCTGGAACGAGCTCCCCCCAGAGATACGGAGGATCCCGGATCTGCGCACCTTCCGCCGCGCCTTAAAGACCTTACTATTTCACCAGGCCGGCCTGGCCTAATTTTCTCCCTCTTTTATAAAAGATTTTAAAAATTTTAAATATCTTTTAGTATTTTATATATTCAATTTTAAATTGGTTTTAAAAGTTTGGGGTTTTAAATTTGTCGGGGCCAAAATTATTTAATTTGATTTTATTCTATTTTTTAAATTTTGTATTGTATGTGTTTTTATTGTTTGGCTGTGCACCGCCCTGAGTCCTTCGGGAGTAGGGCGGTATAGAAATCTAATAAAATGAAAATGAAATGAAAGCCTCCGAAACAGAGCTTCAGAAAAAAAGCCTCTGAAGCTCTGTTTGGGGGCTTCTTTTCTGAAGCTCTGTTTGGGGGCTTCTTTTTGGAAGCTTTGTTTCTGATGTTTTTTCTGATGTTTTTTGCAGCCTCTGAAACCTCCGTTTGAGAAGCTGGGCAGGGCTACATTCGGAGTATAAGATACACAGAGATTTTCAATCTCTTTTTTGGGGTGAAAAGGTGTGTCTTATACTCCGAAAAATATGGTAACCACTGTAAACCTTGTTGGTACAAACAGCTGCAATTGTTGCTTGCCAGTCCTCTTTTAATTTTGTTTTACCTAACAATGTTCTGAATTTTATGCTCACCTCCTTGGAAACATTGTGACTAAGAAGCAAGCTAAACATCCAAGAATCCAAAAAAAGTCAAGACTGATAAGATTACCTCCTTTAGCTCCTGGGAACAATTATGCTGTTTGCAGTTATTTCATAAGGGCCAGAAATGTCATAAAATGAAAGACTAGCTGTCTATTTTAAGTGCCCAAACCATAAGAAAAAAAAAATGCTAATCAGATCTACTTTATGATATGCCCTTAAACTGCTATTACCAATTCACATCCTATGAATATCATGATACTCTTGACTTCAGACAGCATAAACAAAATAAATTATACTCTCATTTATTTGATTACTAATGCTATTTATTCCTTTTCTCTCATATCTACTTTGAAAATATCAGCAAAATCTTTCTTACCTTGTACCAAAAAAGTGCTAGCAAACATACTGCTTGGTGGTTTAGGGGATGGATAACTTGGAGATTCTCTATTGAAGTCATCTGAATTAGGAGAAGGTGCATAGACCTAAATCCATGAAATGAAAGGGAGAAAAGGACAAATATACAACAGCTGAAAGGGTCTAGTCATAATCAAGCAGAGCTTAAAAGGAGGAGAGAAGCTCAGCTGAATATGAAGTCACAAGTCTCAAATGGCAAATGCTTTTTGGGGAATTGCTTCACCTCCCTCTCGAGATGCCGATTCCAGCAAGCAGAAGGAGAAAAGCTGAAGGGCTGACTCTGCTCAGCAAGCACGAGGTCCTTCAAGGGATTGAAAACGGTAGCAGTTACTGAAAAAAGGCAGATGATCTTGAGAAAGAACTTGGCAAAATGGAACAACAGGGACCGACACAAAATCCTACATTTGGTTAGAAATATGTTGGTATAGATAGTCAACTTACAACTACACTTGAGCCTGAAGCTTCTGTTGTTAAGCAACACATTTAAATGAATTTTGCCAAATTTACTTTCTTATTACAGTTTTTAAGTAATGGTAATTAAGTGAATCTGGCTTTCCCATGGAGGGGATCACAGGACCCCAGTATATTGCAACTGTCATAAATTTGAGCCAGTTGGCTAGTGTCCAAATTTTGATCACATGACCATGGAGATGCTGCAAGTCATAAGCATGAAAAATAGTCATTAGTCACTCTTTTCAGTGCTGTTGCACCTTCAAACGGTCACTAAATGAATGGTTGTAAGTTGAGTGCTACCTGTACTAGCATGTGAGGAGAGAGGAGAGACAGGGAGGATCCATTATTCTTAGAAATAGCCCCAAGATTCTTCTGCTATATTTTGAACAAGGAAGAGAGGAAATTCTGACAGTTCTATGTTTTCACAGATCTTAATGAAAAGCATAGAAAAGAGCAGCAGAATAGACTCCGGTGGACCATAGATGTTGATAGTTGCACCTTGTTTTTAAGCAGCCTACAACCCTCCCCTTCAAGCAGCAATATCAAACTGCACTTTTTTCAGTCTGAATTTTGAAGATCAAAGAATTTTTGTGGCAAAACTCAACTTCATTCAATCCAGATGTTGGGAAACAGTCTGCCAATTCTAAAACAAAAAGCAAGTTTCCTTTGTTACAGTGAGAACCTCACACAAATTAAAACCAGTTCTCTCAAGTCATTTGATCACCTGCAGATGATTGTCAGTTTTTCCTCCTGCCCTGGTTAATCATAGGTTTTATTCTATTTTCTTCTTACAAATAAAAATGTAAAAGCAGAAGGCTGACTGAGAGGTAAGAGTGGCTAGGGGGACCTTTGCACAGGTTCACCTGGTGCACCAATTGCGACCCTACTTGGATCGGGAGGCTCACCTCATGGTTAGATTATTGCAACACGCTCTACATGGGGCTACCCTTGAAGAGTGTTTGGAGACTACAGTTGGTCCAGAACGCAGCCGCGCAAGCTGTCATGGGTGCACCTAGGTACACCCACATTACACCAATTCTCTGCAAGCTGCACTGGCTCCCTATTGGTCTCCTGTCATAATTCAAGGTGTTGATTATTACCTTTAAAACCCTACATGGCTCAGGGCTTTAAAGGCTCATGGCTCGAGACTGCCTTCTACCGCATAACTCCCAACGACCGGTAAGATCCCACAGATTGGCCTCCTCCAGGTCCCGTCAGCTAAACAATGCCAGCTAGCGGTCCCACGGGGGAGGGCCCGCTCTGTGGCTGCCCCAGCTCTCTGGAACCAGTTACCTCCTGAGGTCCGGACCATCCCCACCCTATTGGCCTTCCGAAAAGCGGTGAAGACCTGGCTTTTCCGGTAGGCCTGGGGCTGTTGATCTCGCTCTTGCGATCCGGCGAGATCTGGCCATGAATGGTGTGAATGAGTTTTAATGTTTTTAATGTTTAAATGTTTTTTATAATGATTTTAAATGCATTGTGAGCCGCCCTGAGTCTTCGGAGAGAGGCGGCATACAAATTGAATTAATAAATAATAAATAAATAAATAAAGAGTAAGCAGTCTGTAAGTAGCCTGTTCCACGCTTAGTGCCACAATTCGACCAAGATGGTATTTTGGATTTTCAGCATGGAGATATTTGCCAGCACATTTCAGGCCCAGGCTGAGCAGAAACCCTAACCAAGTGCAAAGCAACCTTCCTTGTGCTCTTCTGGATCTTCCTTCTCCTCTTTACTAACCACCGAGGAATGCAACCACCTGCTTGGTTCAGCTAGTCTTTCAAGGAGGCCTGCCGAAAATTCCTTGGGTGTCCAGATGCCACACCATTATAGATAGGCAAAAACCAGGGCAATCATGCCCTTGGTAAATTTATTGTGTTTCTACACGTGTTTGTGTGTGGTGTGTGTATCCTTTGTTCAGCAACTTTAAAAAACTATGCCTATTTCTCTTCATATCTGGAACAATTCAGAGGCGAGAAGAGATAAAGAACTGCTAGAACAGTGGGCAGGGATGGTTCCTTCTGGGCCTCTCCAACCCCTCCAGGCTCCACATCACATACGTGGCTCAGCTCTTCTCAGACACAGAGAGTTCCCCACTTTAGCTACTGAGGGTAGAGGTGAAGTCAAGGTGGGACCTCAAGCAACTGAGCCTCTCCCAGAAAATGGGCTTCTAACTGTTAGCAGTCCGGAGGCTACTTTTGCTCTGTGTCATTTAAACTTGATAGAAATACTTGAATTCTTAAGTTGCAGCTCTGACGTTATCTAGTTTTAAATTTCTGACATCTAATGGTTTTTATTATTTTATTTTTTAATCAGACTATTCTACTATTATTTAATTTTATTTATTAATTAAATTTTTATGCTGCCCATTTCCCTTGTAAAGCGACTCTGGAGTTACAAGAAACTTACTGGAAATGAGTAAGTTGCCAGAGGCTTACTAATAAAAAAAACAAGGAAAGAAAATCTGTAGAAGCAGCACCAAAAAATCTAGTGGAAAACAAGTGCTCTGAATATATTTTGAGATATGGAAGAACCCAAATACTACTAAAAACAGACCCAGGTGGCAGTTTGTCTACACACAGCTATGCAAGTTCTCTTCCAGTATAGAAGCCAGCTGATTGAGCTGCTTTTTCAAAATTGTACTCACACCAGTAACCAGTGACTGGTCGTTGCTCACACTGAAATACACATTTATGGCCCGTTTTCTGCTTGAAACAATGGGAAAATACATCTTATATGAAATACTTGGAGAACCAAACTACTAGCCCCTGGAAGAGGACCTTCGAGGAGGAGGAGGAGGAGACATGCCTCATCTGGCACTGGGTAGCCTCCTCCTACTGGTGGCCACCAGAAAATGAGAGTCGGGAGGGTGTATGTTAAGGACGGTTCTTCTGGGTGGCCTCACAGCTGCTATTCACATCATTTCCTGAGCAGTTCAGGTCCTCCTCCTGCAGCTTGAGTTATTTTGTTTAATAAAAATCCAATTGTCCAGCCAAGGAGAAATTTCAACTTCCTGGGATTCCCCCAAATTCTCCTAAACTCCCAGGAACACTCGTTCCCTTCAACCCTCCTGAAGGCAACTACCTTTGCTGCTATGGAAAGGGAGGGATTATTGTGGGGCGACGAGAGAATGATTCCAACATAGCTCCATGTATGGAACCCCAGATTTACAACCCATGTGTTCGGGGCTTTCTGCATCTTCTCTAAGAAATAAATACAATGAATGAATGTTTCCTGCAGTGAGAAGGAAAGAAAAGGACATTTCAAGAAGGCTCACCATCTGTAATCCTCCTGACACATGTGATTGGTTTAATTGAGATCACGTGTAATCTCTGCTACATGGGAAATGCAGTTCTTTTTCTTCCAAAGAGGACTGTTGTGGTGATGCCGAGCAAGAGAGCTTGAAGCCTTTACATGCTTAGTTCAAAATTCAGGTTGCCAAGAACCGCGCTTAAAAAGGCACCATTGCTGGGCAGCCGTCCCAAAGCTTACAGCCACAGTGGGAGAGGGAGCCATCCCGACGGAGCCAGGAAGAATCAGCCCAAAGGATGGCAGGAAGGGAACCAACGCCCAAGGGTGCACTGAATGATCACCCAAATCTGCCTGGACGCCACTAAAGTGTAAGGCTTTTGGCATACTGTGCCATACACTTTAAAGATAGAAGTTTTATGAGTATGCACTATTCTCTACAATCTTCTTATAGAAAAATGAATTTTTATTGTAAAGTAGTAAAAAAAATAATAAATAGCATGTCCTAGTAAAGCAATAAGACTTCTGCAAGAGTGCCACTGTTTAACTCCATTGTACAAAGCAGTCTGGGGGATGAAAATATGCCCAATAGGAACCCCTTTCTATTCTTTACACTGTACAGTCTTCTTTTTCCAAGTATTAAATGAAAGTGGAAAAGCAACTCTGCCCAGAGATTAAATTGTTTTTCCTAAAATTTGCATTGCCCAAACACCTTTTTTAAAAGTGTGTGATTAAAATCCAGGTTGTAGTTTAAGAGAGTATTTTTTAAGGTAATCTGCAAAACTTTAAAAAGTATCAATTCTCAAGAAATGTTCCTTGCAAGTGTATTTCAGCAGCTGTATTTCCACATATAACTAGAAGAGCCTCTGTTGTGACTATTCAGAATCTTCTAAGCCGCAGCCAGGTCAAGGACAGCTACGGATCTGAACAAAGCCGTACCCCCAAAAGTCAGCTCAGCATTTCCCAACTCAGATGGCTGCCAGACTGCCATACACTTGGGTTTATCACCGAGCAGCAATTGTTAAACATCAACAACTGTTGATATAGAACAATGCTTTAAAAACCCTTTTTATTTAACGTTCTGAAGCAATCTATTAACTAATTGGTAAAACGCTATGAACAAAACAATGGATAGAATTGAGATCAATTCTTAACAGCAGTTTCTCTAAGAGTTTTCCCTCTCAAGGTTTAACCATACTTGAATCATGACCAAATAGAAGCCAGCGCTTCCAATGATTTTATCAGAACATTAATGCTTCAGTACACCTTAGTTTTCTTCCACTCGCCCCCAATATTTAAAACTTCCTGAAGGCCAGTGTCACATGGTTAAGGAATACTAAGAAGGGGACTTCTCATTTAATTTTCTAAC